CTGTGAGCCAGCTGACTGCTACCCCTGAACTGTGAGCCAAACTACCCTCTGCTCCTTTAAGTGGTGGGTGCTGGGGATTGTGTCCAGCAACAGGAAAGCTGACCCATGCAGAGCCACGGGTGAGAATGACCTCCAGGGCCGGCTTGGGGACTGAAGAGGCCACCCACGTGGAGGTGCTGGCTCCAGTCTCTGATCAGCACCTTCTGATGATGGAACACCAGAGGGCACTTTCCCTGGTGCCTGCAGTGGGGGCTCCTGCCTGGTGAGGAAGGGGCACACCTAGGTCCCATTCTCAGCTCTGCCTGACACTGGCTGTGTGGCTCTGGGCAGTCTGCCCTCTGAGCTCAGTTTCCCTGTGTGTAAACTGGGAGGCCTTTTAGAGTCACTGTCTCTGAAGTCCTTTCTGCCTCTGGAGGCCCAGCAAAGCAACTCCACCCAAATAATGCAGTGTGCCAGAAGCTGCTTCCACCCAAGTAACGCAGTGTGCCGGCTGCGATTCAGCCTCACGGTCAGAAGATGACACTGCAAAACGGAATTGGCAGTGGAAGTGGCTGGAATCAAATCTTTTCTTGGATCTTGGCAGAAGAGAGGTTGACCTTGGAGGAAGGCGTTTGGGGATGAACTCCCGTTTCACTTGTGCCTCAGGAGGAAGTGTGAGGGTGGCCAGTCCAGGGCCGATGACACTGAGGTTTGCAAGCTCTCCCTGGGCCGCTCTGTGCAAAGGCTGAGCCGTGGTGTGCAGGGCTGAGGACAGGGCTCCATCGGGCAGACCTAGAGCACCCCGGAACCTGGCTTCTGACCTGGGACTTATGTTTTGCCCCTTCCCACACGGATCTGGCAAGGAGGGAGGGCCCTGCTTACCCCTGGGGCTCCCCTGAGGCCCCAGCCAGGCCAGCAAGGACCAGCTTCCTGTCAGCCTCGTGGCTGTCTTTGGGCCAGCTGTGGAGTCTCAGGGCCCGGCGGCTCCCAAGGGACAGAGCCTGAGACTTCAGCACACTGCTCTGCCCATGCACACCAGGTCAGGGCAGGAGGGCGGGGACATGAGGATGTTCTCAGGACCTGGCCAGGCAGGCAGATGCGAGGGAGGATGAGCGCTGCGAGCTGACCCCTGGGACCTCTAGCCTGTCTTAGTCCCTCTGCCACTGCTGCAGCTGACAGCCGAGGCTGGGTTAATTACAAAGGCTGCTATGGCTTGTGGCTCTGGAGGCTGGAAGTCTAAGAGCTGGGTGAGGCTGACCTGCTGCTTCAGAGGAGACATTGCCACAGGCTTAGGCCTCTTTGCATCAGGGTCCACCCCAAACATCATCACTCTCTGGCTTTGGGGACTTTGCGATGTGAGTAGTTGGAGGACCAGGCAGGAGGGAGGGGCCTAGGTGGCATCTTCCCAGGGGGCCTCCTTGAGCACATGCCCCTGTCCCCCAAGTCAGGAGAGGCCTTGGACTCTGAGCTCTCGGGGAAGAAGAAATTCCTCTCTGCTTCCTTCCGGCAGGAGGCTCCTGGCAGGAAGTGAGAGGTGGTAGACAAGGAGGTCGAGCTGCCCCTGGCGCAGTGGGTGCCTCACACTCTACCCCTGCAGGGAGCATGGCCAGGGCCCTGTGGGCCGCCAGCCTCCTTCCAGACCGGACCCTCACCTGGGCGCCAGAGCAAACTGCTTCCCTACGGGGGCTATTCTGCCTCTAGACTGGAGACCACCCTTGATCTGATGCTCAGACGCTCAAGTAACGGTGAGGGGCGGACTGAGGTAGAGTTCAGAGTGAGGCTTCCCATGAGCCGCAGCAGGCAACAGAAGCCCCCCACCCCTCGGGTGCTGCTGCAACACAGGGGCCGGGCCTCGCCCTCTCGGCCCCATCCATACTGTGTCTTCGGCTGCACCCAGGGGGAGTGTGCGCGGAGCCCAGCACATGACTCAACACAGACGCATGCCCGGAGCCCTGCGCCCACCTGTGGGTCCCACTCTCATCGGAAGCCTTCAAGGGTACTTTGCAGACAACAGGGATGGCTGTCTGTGGGCAGGCTCTTAGATAGTGTGGAGGAATTAGGGTTAATTCAGTATGATAGGATGTTCAGGATCTCTAAGGAAATGTCCACTTTTTTACAGGCACATGAGATTTGAGTGAAAAAACATGAAGGTTGGGTTAAAACTTTCCAAGAAACTTACACAAGCAAAAGCCAGAAACAGGGCTGGGTCAGAGAGGGAAGCTTGAGAGAAGCATCAGGGTGGTAAGGCAGCCAGGGCACGCGGACGGGCAGGGCCCCTGCATGCAGTGTGGAGAATTTTCATCTCAGCTGCTGCCATTGCCCCCTGAGACAGAATCGTCATCCTGGGATGGTTGGCGGGGTCCCAGAGCTGGTGTGTGCCCCAGGGACACCTCCCACCTCCCCAGTGAGGCTCCAGCCCCTGACACCCCAGGATCCCCCTCACCACTTCATAACTCAGCCACGGGCCTCCCAGCCTGGGTCCAGCCATGACCTTGGGAAGCCAGCGAGGCTGACCAGGGCAGGGGCAGCACCCACAGCATGGAGGTAGAAAGGGGAAGCCACAGTGTGGCCCGGTGCCACGGAGGAAGTGGCCACGGGGAGAGCCAGGACAAATCAGACGGCTGTTCAAGCGTGCAGCCCGGTCCCTGCAGTGTAACCAGGCTCCTGCAGCCAGATGGGTCTAAGGGTGGACCCCACTTTACAGAGTCCAGCCAGCAGCCAAGAGGATGAAGGAGTGGGGCGTGGGGTCAGGAGGCCCTGGAAGCAGCAGGGTTCAAGAAGACCAGGGCAGCATGGCCAGGTCAGCGGGGATCAGAGGCACGTGGACCCCACAGGAGTTTCCCGGAGCCCTGGCAGGGCTTGGGACCCACCCAGGGCACCTGGACCACCCTCTGGTCAGGGCAGACTCGGGGATGAGAGCCTGCCCTCTTGCCCTCTGTGCCCACTCCCGGCCCCAGGAGTGCTGACCTTGGGAGCCTCCTGGGCCTGGTGCCCACTAAGCCTCTCTGTTCTCTCTGCTTGGAATGTTCCTGCTGGCCCGGCCAGTGCTGGGGTGAGGCCCTGCCGCCTCCTCCCTTGGCTGCCCTCACATGCACCTGTCTGATCCCCCACAGGAGGCCTCCGCCCCTGTGCTCAGAGAGGCAGCCCAGCCTCCTGGTCTCATCCATTCTGCAGGATCTGCGCCCACATCTGTGGCCGACCCCCCTGGGCAGGACTGGGGTGGGCACAGGTGTTCTCAGGATGTGTCTGTAGCTGCCTCCACCTGGCACATCCTGCCTGATAGAGTTAGCCTGCAGGGAGAAGGTCGCTGTGCCCTGCTGGAAGGGGCAGGAAGTGTTTGGTGTGGCCACGGTGTGGTCAGTGGGTGTCACTGCTTCCCCAGAGACCGCTCACTCACAGCCCCTGCCAGAGGCTCCTGCCTGCCAGGGGTGGGCTCCAGCCCAAGTGCTGAGCCTCTGCCCTGTGGGTGCTCAGGGAGCCCTGGCTTCCCTGGCCGCTGTAGATGTGGGTATCAGACAGACGCTTGCCACAGGGGCCACTGTCCTATAGGCAGAGCAACCTGGGGTCCCCCGGGGACTAGGGTGGGATGGACTGCTGACCAGGCACGATGTTAAGTCAGGAAGGATGGTGCTGCTGAGCACTGCCAAACCCTCTAGGCAGATCGGCCCCTGGGGATCCGAGGATCTCGTGCTGCTCATCCCTGCAGAACCCTAAACGCCAGGTGCTGGGGGTCCCACCCTCCAGGTGCCAGGAGCAGGCAAGGTGGAGACAGGTAACCGAGAGGGACAGGTCTGGGGAATACCTCCTTCTAGGGTCCCAGGGGGTAACAAGGCCTCGGGATGGTAGAGCATGTTTTGCCACGATGAGGCCACCCCTGGTGGTCCCTCTGTCCAGTGGGAGCCATCCGACGCTCTGGTGTGCAACCCCAGACAGGCCGTGCCCTCACCTGCCTCTCCACGGTGGGTCCGTTCACAGGCTGGGACAAGGACCTGGGGCCTGTATTTGTCCTGGAGAATGATGGATAACAGCAGCATGTGGATGCTGAGGGCTCAGGTGTTCTGGCACCGCCTGAGCGCTCTTCCTGCCATTTCCCCAAATCCTCACCTCACAGAAACAGGAGCCAGTGACAGGGGACTGCATCACCTGGCACTGTGTGCTAGGACCCTGGGGGCAGCGCGGCAGAGGGCACTGATCTCCTCTCCCTGCACACAGCTGCCCGAGAGAAGGGGGAGCCTGGGTGGACACCGAGTGGCCCTGAGCACAGAGCTGGGCCTGGGAGCAGACAGCAGCAGACGGCACCCTCCCTCGCCAGCCTCTCTGCCTCCTGAGTGTGTCCTGGGCACCGTTTATCTCCTCTTCACCCTGGCACTCTGTGGCCACGGGCCGGGGACTTCCGTCTCCCACAGTCCTGCTGGAGGAGCCTGAGACGGAGGTGAGGGCCGGGCTAGATCCCGAGGTCCTCTCCACGGCCTGCAGACACCGTCATCTTACCATGTGCTCCACCAGCGTCTGCCTCCTGAGCTCATGCCGTGCCCCCTGCTTGACCTTGTTCAGCCTTGATCACCTCTTGAAAGGCCCTGGCCCCAGTGCAGCCACATTCTGAGGGCTCGGAAGCCGGGGCCTCTACAGGAGCCCACGGGTGACAGACTCAGCAGAGCCCCGCAGGCCCAGCTGCCATCTTTTCCCTCGACAAAGTCCATTCTGCGCGACTCTGCCCGGCTCTGGGCCCCTGGGCCTGGCCCTAGGCTCCACCCTCACACCCCATGCCCTCCCCGGTGAGGCCGGGAGGTGGCTTTTCAGCCTGGCCACCTCGCGCTCCTGCCGGGCTCGCGCTCCTCTGCGAGTGTCTGCCACATCTGTCTGTCCCGGGCCAGCGCATTGGTGCCGGGAGCCTGGACGCCTCTCCCCGACATTCGAAGCTGTTAGTTCTCTTCAGAGACGCTCGAAGATGAGTGGCAGAGAAGAAACAAGCTGAGGAAGAAGTGAGGTGCCGGCCCCTCTCACAGGGCGGACAGAAAGGAGCCCGAGGGTGGTCTGCACCCCGACAGTAAACAGGGACCTAATCAGGAATCAATTAGCTGGCGGTGGTGCACACCTGCCATCCCAGCACTCAGGAGGCTGAACCAGGGCGGTCACTGAGAGTTCTAGCCCAGGCTGGGCTATGTCAGGGCTGGGGGAGATCAGTTTCCTGGGTTTAAGACAAGCCAACTGTGCCTGCCTGTGGGGTGTCTAAGGAGACCCTCAGGACAAAACAGCACGGGGAGGACACACAGGCCCCCGGGCCGCAGCTCCTCTCACAGGACAATGTGTCCGAAAGCCCTTGAGATGGGGTGAGGGTGGGACCTGCGTCCCCCTGGGGCAGAACCCAGCCCGACAGGATGAGCAGGTGGGTCTGATCCGCGCGGGTCCTCGGTTAAAGTCCACCCGCTGAGGGCACAGGTGCAGGGTAGGGCAGGGAGCAGGGTCTGGGAAAGCACACCTCTATGGGCTGTGGGGAGCCGGGTGCGCTCCCCGTTGCACCCACCGGAGGGCGCCCAGGAGGCGCCGCGTCCTCGTCCGCCCGGATGCCCGGGCGGGAGACTTGCATCCTCCTGAGTATGCGCCGCTGAAGCCTCGGGCCGCCCGTGCCTTTGGAAACCTCGGGAAGCCGTGGGAAGCCTTCGGAGGTGCGGAGCGCAGGGTGGAGGAAGGAAAGACGGGTTCCGCCCCGGGCCGAGCTGAAGCAGGAGGGTCCCGCAGAGAGGGCGTCCACGCCGCCCGGGGCCTGGGAGGCAGCTGCGGGCGCCGGGCACCCTGAGCGCGCCGAGGTGGAGCCCGCGCTGCGAGGACGCGCGCCGCTCTGGGGCGAGAGACGGCTGCGTGTGGCGTGCAGACCCCGAGGCGGCCTAAGGCTCTGAGGTGGGGCGGGCCCCCGCCTGCCTTGCAGAAGCCACAGCCCTCTGTCCATCCCTGAGGAGGGAGAACGCGGCCTCCTCGGTGACCTCCCGCCTCTCCCCAGGAAGGTTGTGGAGAAGGTTCCAGGTCCCGGCTGAGAGCCTGGAAGAGCTTGGTCAGAGCTGCCCAGAGGACCTCGGGGCTTGTGTTTTCGTGATCCCCAGCTGAATTTTGTGTGGAAATTAACGTTGATCTTAGCTGGATCCGATTCCAACTTACAGGAATGCCTGGGATATCCGCTCAGAGTCCGCAAAGCCCCGAGCCGTCTGCTGAGGTTGGCAGATGCAGAACGCACGTGGCCGCGGGACTTGGGACCACCCTGTGTGGGGAGGTTGAGGCCTGTGGCTCAGCCCCTGTGGACGCTGTGACAGCGTCACTTTAGCAGGGAGGTGGGAGCTGCTGGCCCAGGCAGCCCTATCTCAGGCGGACCGGCGTCCCCACCCGCCCTGCTGAGTGTGGTTGGCAGCGCCCAGGCTCCCAATCAGCCTGTGTGCTGAGGCGACGCCCTCCCGTGTCGCAACACCTGGCTGGCCCTGACGGTGTCAGCTCGGTGGCCACCCCCAGGCTTCCCGCTCACCCCTCCCCGCCTGCACCCTGCCCTCCCTCACTTCCTACCTGGCGCTCGCAGAGGGAGGGCCTGCCAGCACGGTGGCCGTAAACAGGCGTGAGACAACATGAAAGGGCGTCCAAGGTCATCCGGAGACTCAGACATTCAAACAGTGGGGACAGCCCGGGGGGCGTCGAGGGAGCAGAGCCGAGAGGGACAAGTGTCCAGGAGAGGGGCACCGTGGGCAAAGGCCACGGAGCCTGCTGGGTGGGGGCCCGGGCCAGCGCAGGAGGCCTGAGGGGCTGGCGAAGGACAGGCTCGGGAGAGGGAAGGCAGGGAGGCCTGGAGGGGCGCACAGGCGGGAGGCCCCAGGGCACTGTGCCCCAGCGAGGCACAGCGAGGCCTGCGGTCAACACAGAGTAGGGGAATGGGCCAACAGGGCTGGCAGGGCTGGGGCCCGACTCGAGGCCAGAGTGCACGCTGTGCGGAGCCAGGGAGCAGGCCTGGGGGCCGCTGAGCCAGCCGGGGCTGCCGCTGCCTCTCTGCCCACAGAAGGACCCTGGTGCTTGTTTGAGGCTAGGAGCAGTGGCCCATGAGCCCGAAGGCAGTAAGCACACTGCTGGGCAGGACGCGTGGGCTGCAGAGTCCACGGCCCCACACCCACCAGCCCAGAAGGTCCCGAGGCTGGGCTCCTGGGCTCAGGGAGTTTGGGACATGCGGCTCTTCCTGCCTCTGCCCCTTGGGTGTTTGCCATGTGCAGTCCAGGCTTGAGGCCCTCAGGCACAGAGGACCCTGGGAAGTGCTTCCTCCCAGAGGTTCGGGCCCAGTGTGTCCCAGTGGGGGTGCGGCGGGCGTGCCAGTGTGGCAGTGCGTGGGTCAGTATGTCAGTGTGAGCATAAGTATGTGTGTGAGTGACCAGGTGAGTGGGAGAGTGTGACCGAGTGCCAGTGTGCATGTGAGTGGGGTGTCCACATACATGGTGCACACACACTTGCTCGAGGAAACCCTTGCTTCGCCATGGTCAGTGCCTGCACACCCACACACATCTGGCCCACCACATCTGGCTGCATCTTCTTGCAGATAAAGTTTTATTGGAACCCAGCCATGCCCGCTGTCTCAGCTCTCAGACTGCGCCAGCTGCCACACAGCCTGGGCATGCGACTGCTCGCTGACCCTCTGCAATGAGTTTTCAGACCCTGACTAAGCAGCACTCACGTGGCTGGGGGTCCCAAGGCTGTGGGAGCTGATCTGCCGCTCCAAACCCAGTGCCTCTTTGGGCTCAGAGCTCCCCGCCCACCAGGGTTCAACTCCCAGGCTGCTGGTCTTGACAGCAGGACAAACAAGGATAAAGGTTCAAGGAACAATGACAGAGGTGTGCGACAGGGGACAGCAGAAGCCCATCGATCAGCCTCACCTCTGTGACCAGCGCAGGGCCAGCTGGGATATGTTCCTGGTGCTGGCCAAGGCCAGTCCTTCCCTGGGGCCCCAGGTGGCAGTCTGGGCGCAGACCATGGCCTACCAGCTGCATGTGGCCCCGCCGGAGGCCCTGCTCAAGCCGCTCTCCGTCCCTAGCCGGCTTCTCCTGGGCCCTGGCCCCTCCAACCTGGCTCCCCGTGTCCAGGCAGCCAGCAGCCTGCGGATGATTGGGCACATGCACAAGGAGATATTCCAGGTAGCGAGCTGCCCCCGGGGTCGGTCTGCAAGCCACCTCCCTGCCCACAGAGGACAGGGCAGAGCAGCGGTGTGACCCATGTGCCCCCCGCCGCCCCAGGTCATGGATGAGATCAAGCAGGGCATCCAGTACGTCTTCCAGACCAGGAACCCTCTCACACTGGCTGTCAGCGGCTCGGGACACTGCGCCCTGGAGACAGCCCTGTTGAACCTCCTGGAGCCAGGGGACTCTTTTCTGGTCGGGGCCAACGGCGTATGGGGGCTGCGGGCTGCAGACATTGGGGAGCGAATCGGTAAGGGTGAGGCAGGAGGGCAGGCAGGGGTAGCCCTGGCTTCACTGGTCCAGCAGCACTCACCCCGAAGCCACAGACCCTGAGGGGCAGCAGCACAGTGGGCCCCCGGTCCCCAGACTTGGAGTGGCTGTGGGCAGGCCATAGTCTCCTGGTCTGAGCCCCTGCAGCCCTCGTGGTCTGCAGGCGTTGCTCTGCTCTGTGAAAGCGTGGGTTTCAGGGCTGAACCCTCCCCAGTCTCAGAAACAGCCTTGTCTCTGGGCTCTGCACAACCCTGAGACACAGCAGCAGGGACAGCTGTCCTCCCCGTCGAGACTCTCCAAGAGGCTACGGACAGCAGGAGCAGCAGCGAGCTCAGGACAGGCCGTGCCCGCCACCCCGAGATGGTCCTGGACAGCCCAGGAGGGTCCTGGCCACTCCCTGCCAGTCCACGCATGCTGTGTTCAAGGGGAGCCAGGGTTGGCCCCGCACAGACCAGACTTGGACTAGCCAAGCCATCCCCTGCAGCCCAGCTGGGGCTCTTCCCTGGCACATGCCCTGCCAGGACTCTGCCCAGGGGCCACACAGGACACAGGGCTCTGAGAGGGCAGGCGGGGCCTGGTCCTGGCACTGTGCCCTCAGCAACCCACTCATCCCCCCGGGGCAGCAGATACTGGGTTCTCTGTGAGGGGCCTTGGGCATGGGGAGCCGGCAGGGTGACGCGTGGTGCTCACTAATCACCATGGGGCTGTGGAGCCAGGGAGCCCGGCTCGCTGCACTCTGGGTGGGGCCCTCCAGGAAGCACACCTCTCACTGAGCACATTCTGCTTCCCCTGGGTGCCAAGGTGGGTGGGTCAGCACCATCCCTGCCATAGGAGCTGCTCACTGCCACCCCCACACCTGCAGGAGCCTCTGTGCACCCCATGATCAAGGAGCCTGGAGGCTACTACACACTGCAGGAGGTGGAGGAGGTACAGGGCGCGCTGACCGTGGGGTTGGGGGCAGCGGTGCTGGCACCACCAGGCAGCAGCAGGCCAAGGGGCTGGGGCAGTGGCTGGCCTTCTGCCCTTTCTGGTGACCGGGACCAGCCACAGGAGACATTCACATCCCTGAGAACAGGCGGGAAGCCTGGTGCTGTCTGGTGGGGAAGCTCAGTCAGGACAGTCCTGTGGACAGGGCCAGCAGGTTGGAGGCAGGAGGCTGAGTCTGGGGACTGGGAGGCGGGACCTGTTCCTGGCCCCCAGCCACCAGCACCCCCTGCTTCCTGCCAGCCAGGCCAGTTGTGACCCACAGACCATGGGGCACCGAGGGGCACTGTGGACCTTGTGGCAGCCCATAGGCGGACAGCAGCTGGGGCCTGACTTCCTTTTTGCCCAAATCACCCATTCCAGGGGACGGAGGGCTGTGGGGGTGAGCCTGCCACCTCCCAAGGAAGCCCGTGCACTGTCCACAGCCATACCCTCTGCCCTCAGGGCCTGGCCCAGCACAGGCCGGTGCTGCTGTTCCTGACCCACGGGGAGTCCTCCACCGGGGTGCTGCAGCCCCTGGACGGCTACGGGGAGCTGTGCCACAGGTGGGCTGTCCCCGAGCCTGGCAGGTGCTGCGGGGGCTGGCAGTCCCCAAGCCCAGGGTAGCAGGTGGCCCAGCCGCCCCTGCCCGGTCAGGCCCCTGCCCTACCTAAGAGCCTCTTGGGCCTCTGCTCCATGTGGGCGGAATCAACTGGCTCATCCCACTGAGGATGACCCAGGGCCTGCATCGGGAGCAGGGGCTCTGCGGCTGGATGCCCCGCGGCTGTGGAGGGGGTGCTGCTCGCTGCCTGTAGCCCGGCCACCCTCCCCTCCCACCTGCAGCCTCCCCACCTCACCCCACCTGAGAATAAAAATCACCACCCTAAGCTGGGCTCAGTGCGTCCACCTGCCCACCACAGCTGGCATGGAACACACTGTCCCCAAAAGCCTGGGTGGGGAGTTGGCCTCGTGGCTGCTGGAATCCGGGCTTTGTCCTTTCCACCCGGGCTGCAGCCGGGCAGCTGAGATGGGCAGTTGTTGGCAGGCGGCAGCCTGACCTCTTCCCTAGGCCCCTGAGGCCTCTCTGCCCTGGCTGCCCCTGAAGAACCCCATGGGACCTGCGGGGAACCAATCTGTGTCCTGACCCTCCTTGAGGCCCCCAAGCCCCGTCCTCCTTCATCCACTGCCCTCTGCCTACCCCAGATACCAGTGCCTGCTGCTGGTGGACGCCGTGGCATCCCTGGGCGGGGTCCCCATCTACATGGACCAGCAAGGTGCGCACTGTGGCCAGCACTGGCCTGTCTGGCTCAGAACATCTCCAGGGTCAGCAGCGCCCGCCCCTCGCTGGGTGCACATATTCGGTTCTGTTACTGCAACTAAATGCCCGAGGCTGGGTGACCCAGTGGCCCTGTCGCTCCTCCAGGGCCACCTCTTCCAGGGCCCCCAACACAGGAGCCCTGGGCACATAGTGGCATGGGGGCGGGACCAGCTCCTAGTGGGTGTCGGGGAGGCCAGGGGCCGCGCCAGGGCAGGCAGGGGCTCTGTCCTCACGTGCAGGGCTGGCAGCGCTGTCCCCAGGTGCCACACTCTGCCCGGGAGGGGCATGCTCTGCTCAGATGCTCTGTTGAGCCTGGGATTCAAACCCAGGACCCCCTTCCTGCTCCCCACCCTTCACCCTGCCTTATGGGATGTAGCTTGGGGCCGGCCTGGCTGGGCCAAACCCAACCGGAGCCTGTGCCTCCCAGGCATCGATGTCCTCTACTCCGGCTCCCAGAAGGTGCTCAACAGCCCCCCGGGCACCTCGCTGCTCTCCTTCAGCAACAGGGCCAAGTGAGTGACCCGCAGGCCTGCCTGGACCAGCCTGGGCTGTGGTCTGACCGTGCGGCCGTCTCCATGCTGCCCCGCCAACTGCCTCCGGCCCTGGTCTGGGTCAGAGGAATTGGGGAAGGGGTTCAGCAGGCAGTCACCATCCGGCCACAGCCCGGCCACGGGGGTGCCTGTGGGACCTGGGGACCTGGGTGGGATCAGGACCCCAGCACAGGACACCAGGGATCAGGCTTCTGTGTGGCTGCGGGGTCTGGGAGGAGGGGTCTGACCTGGAGCTGGGAGCCCCACTGCACACACCCTCCAGACCACAGATGCATTTAAAGTGTCCAAGGGGACAGTGTCAGGGCCGGGCAGGGCCGGGGGCGGCTGTGAGGCTGCCTGCCCAGGAAGGCGCCATCAACCCCAGACCCGAACCTCAGTTTCCCTCTCATCTGGGTAGGTTGGAGCTGCCAGTGCAGCAGACCCTTGGGTCTTTGAGCCAGCAGTCACGCTCTGTGCCTGTGGGAGGGGGCGGGGAGAGCAGGAGGCTGGCGACCTCTACCTGCTTGGGTCCGCAGGGTCCTCGGGCAGGCACGTGGGGAGGGCCGCCGGGACACAGGGCGGCTCTCGGGGTCTCTCCCTCCAGGCACAAGGTCTACACACGCAAGACGAAGCCCGGCTCCTTCTTAATGGACATCAGGCTACTGGCCAACTTCTGGGGCTGTGACGATGAACCCAGGATGTGAGGCCGGCAGGGACGGGTTGGGGCACTGGGGTGGGTGAGGTCCTCGGCCCCCGTCACCTCGATGTCCTACGGACAGCCCTGAAGCCCTGCCTAGGCCCTGCGTCTCCCCAGGTGTAGGCCCCATCCGCCTCCCCATGAGCCCCATCCCCCCCGGGGCTTAGGTCCTGCCCCTGCTGCATCCTCCCTTCCAGGCCTCAGTTTACCTCTCAGAAGGAGGGGGAACCAGAGGCTCCGTGAGCCATCTTGGCCACAGCCCCCTGTGCCACACCCAAGGCAGGGCGTTCTGGGCCTTGGTGGGGGGGTGGCGGCCGCCTCCAGGTCCCGCCCGTCCTGCTGCCCGCTGCCCTCCCCGAAGAGCTGCTGCCCCAACAGCTGTGGGTCGGTGCCAGGAAGTGGCTGCTATTGCAGGCTGGCATTGAGCAGGCACGTGAGCTGGGCCCCTGCTGCCACAGGTACCATCACACCACGCCCATCGTTGGCCTGTACAGCCTGAGGGAGAGTCTGGCACTCATGGCAGAGCAGGTGTGTGGAGGGCTGGGTATGGCACATGGCGAATACAGGCCTCTGCGCGGTCCCTGCCGCTGCACCTCCCCGTGTGCCCTCCCACTGTGGTGGAGGGGGCCCGGGATGGGCAGAGACAAGGGCACTGCCCAAGAGGGCCATGGGTGATGGCCGGGCTCACTGTGTGCAGGGGGTGTAGCCAGCCATGGCCAGGCTGGGAGCACAGGGCCAGGGACAGAGGGGATGGGCAGGGCTGGAGGGAACAGGGCGGGCACAACTTGCAGGGAACCCAAGCTGCTGGGGAGAGGGAGCCGGGCACAGTCTGACAGGCACCACAGGCAGGGCAGCAGGGCTGGCAGAAGCAGCTGGGCCATGGTGAGAGCCGGGCAGTCCATGGTCACGGAGTGCGGGGTGACGGCCTCTGGCCTCGTCATGACAGAACATGCCTGTGGGCAGCTCAGGGCCAGTGCGGGGACAGCATGAAGGTCCAGCTGGCTTTCTACAGATGTCTCACACAGGAGGCATTGGCCACCACCTCCCAAGGCCGCCTCCCAAGCCCGCTGACCCAAGAGTGCCAAAGACACACATGCGGGGCGGGGACGGGTGGCACTCCTGTGGTACATGCAGCTTCCAGGGAGCCAGGCTGAGGAAGCTGGGTGTGATCAGGTTGGTGGTTTTGTCTAAGGCTGAGTCACTGTCAGGACCCAGAAAGCCACGTGTGGCCATGGGCCACTGGCTCTTCGGGACACAGGACAGGAAAGGCGACCGAAGCACTGCCCACTGTCCTCTGGGTCCTGATGTCCCAAGAAGGGCCACCGCTGGCCACCAGCCCAGAAGCAGGACCTGGAAGGGCCCTTGGCTGAGGCCACTGTGTTTCCCTCCCATGTCCCCTCAAGCTGCTGCTGCAGGGCAGGATGGAGCAAGGTGTCTATGCGCTGGTGGTCACCCGCACCGTGCGTTTGTGCCTGAGGGCTGAGGGCCAGGCTGAGCTGGGAAGGGAAGGGAGAGGCGGAGGGAAGGGCTGTGGGGAGGTGCAGGCCCCGTTGGCTCCAGTAGATTCTGCTAGTGGAGTTCACTGAGCTGAAGGACAGGAGCCGAGGTAGTCAGGGGACAGCAGTCACTGATGGGCGAGGCGGGGCTGGGCCCCAAGTGGCTTGGTTGGGGGGGCCAGGAAGGGCCACCCCTGTGGGAAGAGTGAGCCTGCTCTGACCCAGCCCAGCCCCGGGCTCTGCCTTCTGCAGTGCCCTCTGTGTCTCCCTCAGGCTATGCCCACCTCCCTGTTTCCTTTGGGACCTGCACTGTGCCACCACCCTAAGCAGACTAGCCCCTACCAGCCGCTGCCCCAAATGGGGGATCCTGTGCCCCGCAGCTGCCGCAGGCACCCTCTCCCTGCCCCCTCAGCATCCCCTCTCCCCACAGGGCCTGGAGGCTAGTTGGCGGCGACACCGTGAGGCCATGGCGTACCTGCACGGCCGTCTGCAGGGCCTGGGCCTGCAGCTCTTCGTGAGGGACCCGGTGAGGAGGGGCGGGAGGCTGGGGGACACGTCCCCACCACGGTGGTGCACATGCATGGCAGGGATGGGTGGCACTGAGCCACCCATGGGACAAAGTGCCAGTGTTGGTGGCCACACGCCCTGGGGGGTGTGACCTGCCCCCGATAGGGACTGCAGCATTCCCAAGCCTTTAGGTGCTCCGGCACCCCATCCTGGAGCCGTGTGGCCACCCTGCTCTCCAGGACAGTCAGGCTGGGCGGGTGATCGTGAAGGACATGCAGGGTATGTGGCCCATGCGGCTGAGCGACACACGTCCCACAGGCAGCTCGTTTGCCCACGATCACCGCTGTGGTTGTGCCTGCTGGCTACAACTGGAGGGACATTGTGGACTACGTCATGGACTCCTTCAGCATCGAGATCACGGGCGGCCTGGGCCCCTCCGCAGGGAAGGTGAGGGCCCCCACACTGCCGGGGCACTGTGGCCTGAGCACCAGACTCCTTCCCACTCCGGGGCCTGTGTGCCCCAATCCACACGGGCATCAACGGCCCGGGACAGCAAGGCTGCCCTGGGGACGTCCCTTCCCGAGAGCCTTTCCCACCCACTCAGCATGTCCTTCCTCCCATCCCCATGGGCTCTGGGAAACCTCAGGCCTGCATCTAACGGACTGCTGGGTCAGCCATGCTGACTGACCTACAGTGACCACCGTGTTGGCCCCTTCTCTAGCTCTGTGCCATGCAAAGGGCAGCTCTGGCCTGGGTTCCTGGCTCCCCAACATCTGCCCCCCTGTGCCCACCAGGTGCTGCGGATTGGCCTGCTGGGCTGCAACGCCAGCCAGGAGAACGTGGACCGCCTGGCTGAGGCCCTGAAGGAGGCCCTGCAGCGCTGTCCCCGAAATAAGCTGTGACACTGCCCCTGAGCCTCCCTGGCCTGGGATACAAAGAAGCCAGCAGGCCGTGTGGCCCCTAGGCCTGAGGCCAGGAGAGCTGTGCCTGACTCTTCTCGCCCCAGCGGGGCCACTGGAGAAGGACTCACTGTGCTTTCCACAGAGCTGCTGTCTCTGTGGCCACTGGCCTCTGGGGACATTCAATAAACCACTGGCCAGCATCTCTACTGTCTTGGTTACTTTTCTCTCATTGCTGATACAAAATACCTGATGCCCAGAATTAAGGAAGGAAAGGTTTGTTTAGCTCACAGTTTGTGGAGGTTTCAGTCCATACTCAGCCTCCATGACAATCTGCAGGGGCCCAGGGGACAGCTTCTATGCCTGGCTCTGCCCGGGACCTTGAGCAGCTCTGTCTCTTATGAAGGTCAAGGTGGGGTGCCCTACACAGTGAGCTGCCGCAGGCCCAGCGCAGGCTCCAGTCTCCTCCCTGGCCCTCACAAAGCCCCAAGGCCAAGTGTGTGAGCTGAGCGTGCAGCACGGTCACCAGCAGGGAGGGCAGCAAGGCCCCGGCCACTCTTTTCCTGACCGAACCCCACTTGCTGGCCCAATCCACGCAGATGCTGCCCATGGCCCCAGGGCTGGTGGCAGCACTGCCACTGCCCCCCATGAATGCGCCCCGCTAAACACTGGGTCACAGGGGCAGCAGAGGACATGGGAATTCAAAGGGAAACACATGCATGTCCCAAACACAACAGGCCATCACACTCCTGACCAGGGACTGTGCAGAGGGAGGTCTCGGCTGGAAAGGGCACTGAGAGCCTCAGGCTTCCGCTACTGGGCAGACACTGCCAATGGCAGGAGGAGGAAAGGACGGACAGCGTTAAACCCGCTGGGCACTGACCCCAGCTAGGGAGTGAAATGCACTGCGGAAGAACAAGAGGAGGAGACCCGGGCCGCGCTGCCAGAGCAGGCCTTGAGCATGGCTCAGACGGGCCTGGGTCACTGGAGGTGGCCCTTGCCAGGCCCTGTACTTCTACTGCCACGTAATGTGGCCTCAGGCTCTTTCTGCTCCTCTTTTCTGAAAGCCTTGGGAGGAACTTGACCTGGGATCACTGTGCCTCACACAGGCCCACAGGTGACAGTCAGGAGGTGGCTCAGCCTGTGCCATCCACGGCCGCCTGGCTCTGGCTGGCCCTGCCTGGTGAGCCTGTCTGGGTGGGGACACATGGCTCTGGTCTGGATCCTCCCAGCTGTGACTTTCATCACTGCCTTTTCCTAGGCAGGGCCACCCTGACTCACACACAGCACCCAGGTCCTCCTGGGGCGCTGGACTCTGGGTCCACCACAAAGCAGACGTGGGCCTGATCCTGACCTGTGTGCCTCCTTCTTAGAGAGGAGACGATGCCACTTTGTGCCGCTTGTGTGGGTGTCAGCTCTGGCCTGGGGCACTTGCTTTAGTCGTGTAGCTCCTCTCACACCTGGTCCTAGGTTCTGAAGACACAGGTAGGGGACTCTGTGGCACATGCTGGCTATGGGAGCCCAGGGCTGGCTGTGGCTCAGACCCCAAGGGATCAGTAGGATGGAGAAGTCAGGGTCCCCCTGAGCTGGGGTGGGGGAGTTTACTGGCTGCAGGCAGCTGCTGGGGGCGTGTGGGGGAGGAGGGCAGCAGGAGTGGAGGTGTAGGGCAAGCTGGATGCCAGGGGAGGACCTGGCCTCGTAGAGGCACATCCACGGTGACAGGCAGGGCCGGCGGGGGCAGATGGCTTGGGGATGGCCATAGGAGCCATGGGGCCCCTCTGTGGGCTTCAGTTCCTCTGCAAACCAGGAAGTGGGGACCCCTGGGGAGGGGTCATTCTCACAGCACACAGGCGTTGAAAGCGTCCCGTGCACACCAGCCTCCCACTGGAGGTTTCCATGTTCCCGCCTGGAGACAGCACAGGGCCTCTCCCTGTGCCTACAAGACATTAGTTTGCCCAGGGGCCCACAGCCCAATTTAATCACCAAGGAGTGGCCTCACACAGGCCAAGCAAGCCCTCCAGCACTGGTCCCCGAAGACTCAGTTTTCCTGCCAGGGTCACACAGTGGATCATCCGGGTCCCAGGAGGCACATGCACCTTCATCCCAGGCCTGCAGGTGAGGGAGGCGGCTGCCACCCCGAGGCCTCCGCCACCCAGCACACTCAGACTGTCCCCGCTGTCCCTAGGACAGCCTGCGGCATCCCTGAGGATCCAGCCCCTCCACCACCCCTGTCCAGGAGAAGCCCACTCTCCACGGCTCAGGTGTCCATGCTGCCCAGGCTCCTGGTCTTCCTGAAGATGCTCTGCATGGCTGCGACGCGGTCCTCGTCCTGGATAGTGAAGACCTGGAACTGCAGGCAGGAGGGCGAGGGTCACAGACATCGGCCACATCTGCCCTTCCCGAGTCTGGGCTCCTGCCTTGGGGGCGCCACCTGGGGGTCCTCACACACAGGGCCTGGCCTGGCTGACAGCGGAGCCTCGCTATGATTTGGATCTGAAATGGCCCTTTCCGGGAAGCGATTGGAGACTGGACCCTCAGCTGCCTGCTCCTGGGGCCTGGGGCCTGGTGAGAAGAGGGGTCACCGGGGCGTGGCCTGAGAGTTTGTGTCCTCTCTGCTTCTTGGCTGCTGTGATGCAAGCAGCTCCCCTCCACCCAGGCCCTTCCTGCCTTGGCGCTATTTGAGCATGGATGAACATGAGCCAGCGCAGGCTCTGTGGGATGAGGGGCAGTTGGCAGAGCAGTCAGGTAACCCTGAAAAGCAGGCCCACAGACGTAAGGTCCTGGGGCCATGGGTGAGCAGAGATGGGGCCCAGGAGGCCCAGAAAAGCTGCATCTCACAAGGGACGAGGCCCAGCAAGCTGGGGCCTTTGACATTCACCACGTGAGGGTCTGGGGGCAGTGCATGCTGCCCTGGCTCCCAGAGAGCAGCTCTGGACCCAGGGGCGACCCCACGCCTGGTGATCCCTGCCTCCCATCTGTGCTCAGGCTCTGTCCCTGCCCTCACATGACCCTGGGTCTGTGGAGCCCCTTGGCCAGCTGGCCCACCTTGTCCAGCAGGACATCGAAGTAGGCCGTGGCCCAGTAGGCAGGGTCGCTGGCCGGCAGCTGCAGGAGCGCCTTGACTCCGTGGCCCACGCGTGGCGGGGGGCTGCGACCCAGGTGAGTGGCATGGATGCGTAGGGCAGCCTCTGGCTGGCGGGCAAAACTCTCTGCGTGCTGGTAGACAGCGCCAAGATCCAGGTCACCTCCCTGCAGCAGGTCGCGCTCGGCATGGAGGAAGTGCGGCAGCGTCCTGGAGGCCAGGCAGCAGAGCAGCACCACCAGCACTCGGTACACAGCGCCCTGCAGCTCCGTCCAGTCCTCGGGTGCAGGGAAGAGTGCGCACGCCCACAGCAGCACAGTCTGCGGACAGCACAGAGGTCAGGCCTCCTGCCTTCATCTGAGTCTGGACCAGGCCCCGCCCCACCTGCTGCCCCCACCTAGCAGCTCTGGGGCGTCCACCCTCTCTGCTCCTTCACCCCCACAGGGCCCCTTCTTCCTCCTCTCTGGACCTCAGATCCTGCGGGAGGCTCACTCCACACTCTGAGCTTCCCTCGTACCCTTCCATGGAGCACCTACTCATTCTGTGCAGGCCTATCCAAAGGGCCCATCCCTGCGGCATCAGGGAAGTGCACCCAGCACCTTCTCCCTTCTGCCTTGAGGCCCCTCTCCTCTACCAGCTCCTAGCACCATCAACTTGGGAATCAGACACCCCTCATGTACCCCACCTCAGGTGCAGGCCCAAGAGGGCAGCAAGTGGCCTGAGGGACATGGCTCTGGGCAGAGCTAAGGTCTGAGGACAGGTCGGTCACCTCCCCTCAACACCTGGCAGGCCAGGCCCCTCTATCTACAGAGTACACACCAGGCAGGGGACCTGGCAGTGCCCCGCAGCCCATATACTGGGTCCATGCCTCGGCCCTGCCTCTCCTGTGTCTGCCACGCCCCTATGGGACCCACCCTGCCCTGTCCAGCACCCAGGCCGGGCCCAGCTCTGTGCTGCCCACCCTGAGATCTGACCTGACAGCGTTCCCAGGATAGCAGGGCCTCAGAGGTCACTAACTCAGGAAGGGACACACCTGGGTGCCCCACCTGTGCCTGGGTCACAGATGCAGGCAGCCAAGGTAGAGCTGGGCAGCCATGGCCTTTCCTCACCTACCTTCAGGTGGTTGAAGGTCAGGCCAGGCTCCCGGCCACCGTCCCTCCAGTGCTCGTGGTTGACCCGATCGAGGATCGAGAGGCTATCCAGGCGATGGCCCCGGAGGGCACCCAGCTCCCCAAGCAGCTGGGTGAGCAGGTAACCTGTGCAGGCCCTGAAAGCCAGAGCAGGTAGGGCTGGGCTCCTTGCAGCCCAGCTCCCAGCTGTCACTGGAAGAGCATCCTCTGCTGCGGTTCCTGCGTGTGCAGGGCGCCTGGACCCCACCCGTCAGAAGGCTGTGCCCAGCAGTGGGTGTGGGGCTGTGCTGCCACCCCCAACTTTCTCAGGGGTGGCCTCAGAGCATGAACACTAGCACCCAGCCTGTACAGACACCCAGGGGTATGCAGGACATGGGAGCCCCTGGCAGTCCACCTTTCAGTGGACAGGAAGGTCCTTGGCCCCACCCCGCTTGGACAGCGGCCCTGGCATCTGGGAAGAGGCACCACAGGCCTCAGCCAGGCAGGAGCATTGGGTGCACCCAGGGCCCCTCTAGGAAGACAGAGCCACCTCCATGGCGGCTGGGGCAGCCGGCAGGCTCAGGATCCCCAGCCATGCCTGCAGCTGTGGGCATTGCCCCAGAGGCACCCACAGAGCACCTGCTGAGCGGCCAGGGCTGCACCTGCGCTGCCAGGCCTGGCTGTCATCCTCCCCAGGACTCGAGAGGCCACTCTCAGTTATGCACAGGAAATGCCTCTGCTCAGCCTTCTGTGGCAGGCCGGTGGGCACTCGGCAAGCCTGGCCACAGCCCTGCCCTGCAGTTGAAATGGGCGGGGGTCCTCACGGGCTCCAAAGAGCTACCAGAAGGGGGCCCACCCCTCCCTAAAGGAGCTAGGGGAGAAGCCAGTGCCACCCCAGGGTTGTGGGCAGCTGGAAAGCCACCTAGCCCATTGCCACACCGTGTTCTGTGTCCAACCTGTCTCCAGGGGGCCCAGCCACTGCCCCCCACAGACACTGATGGAGAACCTGGAGGCCCTCCTGAGCCCACAGGCCCCCGAGGACAGAGACTGGGGATCCAAGGAGGCACCACCAGAGGCCAGGCCAGCAGGGCTGTCTATAGCTGAACAGGGGTTGAGGGACCTCCTGGGAGTGGGGCACAACCTGAAAGGGCAGCCCAAGCTGGCGCGCAAGCCTGGCACTCACATCTGACTCTGACCACCATTGGCACACAGAGCCGACAGCCTGGTATTGGGCCAGGTGAAGAGGGCCCCACCCCAGCTGCCCTCAGGTCCCGGACCCACCAGGCCCCCACAGCCACTGCCCTACCCCGCCCAGGAGAGGACTGAGGCGCAGCTGCCCATGGGGTGCCCCGCATCCTGCTGGAGGAAGCCGGATGGACCCCGACTCCTCTCGAGGTGCCAGCCACTTCGTGAGACACAGAGGCCTCAGGCAGCGGTGGGCAGGGACCACAGACGCTCTGTCTGGGTGGGCAACCCGGCGTGGCAGCCCCTTCTCGCCTATCCCCAGGACCCTGAGCCCCAGGAAAGGCATCTGCCATACCTCCAGTGCTGGGCGCTGGCGGGAACCAGGTCCACCCCGTGGCCAACCATCCTTTTCAGGGTGCCCTCAGGGAACCCAGGTGTGAGCCAGGCCTCGTGCAGGCCAGGCACATCGCACTTCCTCCGCAGCGCGGGCACAATGTTGAAGCGGATCTTCCTCCAGCCACTGGACACCAGCAGGGACAGGTGCAGCTGCTCCTCCTTCAGGGTGGCAGCGCTCAGCAAACCTGTGAGGACTGCGTCAGGCCAGCTGCACACCCCTGGGCCCCCTGCCACCAACAGGCCTTTCCACCTGCAGCCCTCCGTGCCCTAAGCCACAGGTGGCTGTGCCGCGCCATGACACTTCTGTGGGACAACTGTCAGCGTGGTGACTTCACCGCACTGGAGTGTGAGCAGCTTCCCTGTGAGGCCCCCCTTTGCCAGGCCCCTCACCAAGCCTGGGCCCCAGCCTGGGGCCACATCTCCATGCCCAGGACCAGCAACTCAGTCAGACTCAGTTCCATTCACCACCAGGCAGGGCCAGGGCAGCACCAAGGGCGAGGGCAGTGGCGGACCCAGCCCTGCCCTGAGCTGGAGTTGGGAGCGTGCTCTGCAGAGCCGCTGTGAACTCTAAGCCCCAAGCCTGAGCCCTGAGCCTGCAGCCCCTTGCTGCAGGCAGGGAAGAGAGGGCTCCAAGGCCTCCCTCCCAGGCTTCTCCGTGCCCCAGCATCTTCTCAGCATTCGGGAGAAGCTGTGGGTGCCCCACATCCCAACCCTGGGCCTGTGCACCCCCAGATGCCAGGAAATCTGCACTCAGGCTCCCAAGAGGGGAACTGTGCAGACAGTGAGGACAGACAGACATGACTGCCCAGCCCCGGCTGGATGGCACAGAGACCAGGGTGGGCCCCTCCTCCCCGTCCCAAGAGCCTCCTTGTAGCTGACTCAGGTACGGGCACCATGCTGTCCTCACATCTCAAGGGAGGGACTGGGCAGCAGAAGACATCAGGGAGAGCAGTGTGTGCGGAAGACCCTGCTTGGGGGCTGACCATGGCTGGGCCAGCGGCTCTGAGATGACAGAGCGACCTGGATCTTACTCACACCCAGACCTGCCCTGCACACTGAGTGCCGTCTCCCCCGCGCCCCTGTGCCCTGTTGCCCACACCTTCTGGCTGAGAGTCTGCCTCCCAGCGTGGCCCACGTCACGGACCCACAGGTCCAGGCCACCCAGCACTGCATGCTCCATGCAGAGCAAATCAGCACCAAGGGAGGAAGGCGAGTGGTTCTCAGGAGCCAGGACAGGTGGGACACAGGCCCATGGGGTGGGCAGGATCCCACGGAAGGCCCCAGACACGAGCCCTGGGAGCACTCTGAGGGAGTGGGGCAGCGACCTCACCATCCCAGCCTGGCCCTTCAGGACGGACCCTTAGCACAGGCCCCCTCCCGCGGGCCACCCATCCCCCAGCCTCAGTTTCCCTATCGGTGACTCCCTGGGCCCCTCTGGATTCCATGTTTGCGGTGCATCATCTACAGCCACCTTCTGTGGCTTTGTCCCCTCATTGCCGTAGGTCACGTGTTCCTTCTGTCCCTGAACTGGCAGCCTGGCAGCCCCACTGCCCCAGCTGGTCCCACCGGTTCCAGGGTGGGGACAGCCTGCTCTCTGCCTGGCCGCACGTTGCCCTCGGTGATTGAGCGTGGGGAAGCAGGGCCCGGGTTTTCCTGCACACCCAGCACACCCATGGGGGCCACACAGCGGGGGTCTCTGCCTCCCAGCCAGGGGCTTCCTGGGCATGTGAGGGTGACCCCCATTGTCCCAGAGCAGCCGGAAGCTCCTGCTCACCCAGAGCAGATGGCAGGGCTAGGTCAGGACAGATATGGTCCTGCCGAGCTTCTGTAGTGATTAGGCCAGGAAATGATCAGACATGAGGGGCTGCAGGTGCTCTGGGAGCAGACATGCAGTGACAGGGTCTCTAGTCACCGAGAGTTGGTCCACAAACAGGACGCCCTCCAGGCAGGGCTGCAGAGCAGCTGCCTTCGTGGCATGGAGTCTGTCAGGAGCCCCAGGTCTTCTGGTCCTACACCTGTCACAGCTGCCTGGCTGTGGCTCTGCTGTCACCATGTCCTCTAGCAGCAGAGGACAGGGCTCCTGAGGGGAGGCAGAGGGCCTGCTTGGAGCCAGGCCAAGCCCAGTGCTGGCGACCCCCCGTCTGAGCCCTGCTGGGGGATACTGGCTGCCTCAGGCCCAATCGGGGGCTGCCTACCCAGGCACAGTGTCCCCACCCTAGGGTCAACAAGACTCCAGGGAGAGACAGAGGCCAGGCCCTATGCGTCTGGAAGTGCCTGGCCCTGGCACTACATGGGGCTCAGGGCACCAGTCAGCAGCTCAGCCACAAACCGGGACAGACCTAAGCACTCAGAGCCCAAAATCCCTCTGTTCACGTGTGCACACTGGTGGGTCCAAGTGAATACACACAAGCACACACACAGCCCGGTGCAGTGTGCCAGAGACAGGAGGAAGGGTTGGCTCTGAGCATGCTCACAACAAGCTGCAACCAAAACCAGAGCCAGTGGCCCAGAACCCTTCTAGGGATCCTCCTGGAGCCAACCAGCAAAGCAACACGAGGTTACATTTGCAGCTACTGAAACAGTAATGTCCTGAAAACCTCAGCCTCCAAAACACAGGACGAAAGGAGCACAGCAAACACACGTTTCCCTGGAGGCACCCAGCGCTGGGACAGAGCAGGGTCTGCCAACACACACGCCAACACACACACTGACCGTGCACACCACACACACACGCACAGGAATACACGTGTGCGCACAGGTATCACCGCCCTGTGTGCAGACAGCAGCCCCACACCAGGCTTGCTGAGGGGCCGGGCTGCTACCTGGAGCAATGAGGCCGTGGTGCTTGCAGTACACGATGGCAGCCACCAGCAGGTCTCTGAGGACACGCAGGACTTTGCTGGGCATGATGTAGCCACAGCACCTGGTGCTGCCCTCCGAGGAGGCGCTGAAGACATCCTCCATCATCCAGGGCTCCAGGCCGGTCGCTCCCCTGGGGATGCCCAGGCGGCAGAGCACAGGGCCATCCCCTGGCTCCGAGGCCCCCTGCTCCTCAATCAGGAGCGCACTGGAGTCCACCCGCAGCAGCACTTGCATGTCCAGTGGGTCTTCCGAGGAGCGCAGAGCGAACTGGAAGGCCTCCAGGTGGTGAGAGTAGTCTACAAGGAAGCGGGGGTCCAGGGTGTGCACATGCTCCAGCAAGGTGAGCAGGACGTCCTCGGCACGCTGGAAGTCCTGCACGCGGGACACCTCCCGGGACCGGATGGCCTGCAGGTAGTGGTGCCACAGGGGCACCTTCACAGCCATGGCCAGACAGCCCTTGGACTGCTCTGCCAGCTGGTGGACAGGCCGGGAAGGCAGAGGGGAGGCACCTGCCCAGGGGAGCAGCAGGTCTGCAGGTGGGGCGCAGCTCCAGCCGGAATTCCAGAGCGACAGCGCTAGGCACAGGTTAAATAACTGAGTGGCAGCCAAGGCTTTGAAGTGGGTGAGTCAGTCCCCAGCGATTAGGAATGTCCCAGGGGCCGTCCAGGGGGCCGGGCCGGTTACACCCTCAGTCCTCCTCCTTCCAGACTAACTCTCTGGTCTCGGGCTGACACCAGAGTGTGGCTTGTGCTGGGAGTGCAGGCCTGGCGAGGGACTTACATCCCTGGGGTTTCTTCCCAATTCCATCCCAACAGCAGGTGGTGGGGTCTCTGGAAATCAGGCCTTTCTTGCCCAGCTTCTCTGCCAGGCTGGAGAGACACAGGTAACCCCATGCCTCAGATGAGGGGACGCAGGCACAGCCACCAGGCCCTAGGTGGAGTGGTAGCCTCTCTCTAAGGCAGCCTGGAGAGCTACAGTCACTCCCCACCCCTAGACACCTGCGCCAGCGGAAAGGCAGAAGCCTGGAAGGGGTGTGTGAGAACTGCCTCTGCCAGCTGTCCTCCACCTGCCTGGCCTGGGCGCCTCGGTGCCACACTGCCGGCCTTCCTGGGAAAAGCTGCCATCACCTGGCCTAGGAGCTGCAGCCCTGGTTTAGGGGCCGGCAGGAGCCTCCCCTACCGACCCTGGCCCTGGCTGGCCATATGCAGAGAGTTCAGCATGCAGTGTGTGCATGACAGAGACGGCATCCCTGCAGCCACCAGGACCCAAAGAAGGTTGAGGGGTGGGCAGCCAGCGCATCCTGGTGCTTGGAAACCTCTGGGGGACGCAGGTCCCTGCCCCAAACCTCCAGGGCGAGTACAGGCTCCCTGAGGCCTAGCTCAAGCCTGGCCCCTGGGGTTGCCCAGAGCAACATGCTGTGTTGTCATGGCCCCTGTCTCCATGGGACTCTGTGAGGCAACAGATGGGCCTTGCACCCAGTCTAACCCTAACCCTGCTGGGGGCCTGAGCTGCAATACTGGGGCTTCGGTGGTGTCTCCAGCTCTCCCAGCCTCACTCCTTATGCCCACAGTGTCCAGGCTTGCCCAGGACTCAGCTGCCCCTGCCCCCAAACTCACAGGGCTCTGAGACCTGAGGAAGGTGCTGCCTGATCCTCCCTCACCAGGCCCCCGGGACACAGTGTCCTCCCTCGCAGACTGGGGGACACTGGTCCTCCCAGATCTTTGCCCTCGTCAGAGCCCCCAACGGGCCTCTCCCCCTTTGGCCCCTGGCAGTGCCACCCTCAGCCCCCATGACTGGACAGAGTCGGCTGCCTCAGGGTGTCCTGGAGCCCGGCCAATGCCTGTACCCGGCATGGATGACACTGGGAAATGGAGGGCGAGCAGAGTCCTTGGGGAGCTGGAGCAGGCCCTGCCTGGACCTTCAGGGACAAAGCAGGGAGGCCTCGTGGAGCACAGAGGACAGGGCTGCTGGTGAGGAGCACAGCACCGTCCCAGTTGCCACGAAGGAGCCGTGCTCCAGAGGCTGAGGGTCCCAGTGTGGCCAGAACCGCACGGGGCACACGGGTCCCAGAGTGACACGGGCAGCGGCGGGCTGTGCCCAGGGCCCCAGGAGCCCAGGACAGAGGCCTCAATGGCCGGGCCCCTCAGGTGCCTCCTCAGCTCAGTGGCTTCGCCATCCGTGGTGGCACCCTTCTGTCTCTGCCTCTGTCCTCATGAGGACCCCTAGGCGTGTCTGTGTCCCCTGCCTCTCCTGAGAACAGTCAGGACCGCATTCAGGGCCACCAGCCGCGCCCTGCAACTCCTGTCACTGTCCTTACTCTCTTGCATTGCAAGTACCACTCACAGGGGCCAGGCACCAGGAAGTGGCCTGTACGTGGCCAGCCACCGTGGGCACCATCTAACAGCCACGGAGGGTACCTCTGTGGTGCTGCTCTCAGCCCTGCACACATGAGGGGGGCACTGCCCACCCGCCTGACCAGGTCACCTCAGCTGGTCTCCAGGGTCACCCTGGGAGGCAAAAGTGGCCAAGGCAGGATGCACCAGCAGACAGATGCTGGCAGTGCCCTGGGAGGTCCACTTGGGCCCACACCAGCTGACACTGGTGGGGCCTGGGGGAGCCCTCCTTGGTGGCAGGGGCACCCTTCTCTCTACACGGCCTTTCTCTGCCAGGGCAGCTGGTGCAGGACAGATGCAGAAAGGGAGCCCAAGAAGCCACACCCTCACTGTGTGGCCTGCGCAGTCACTGCCCCAAGTCCCGGACAGAATCGAGGGAGCATGTGGCATGGACCTCAGGCTGCCTCCGTGCCCTGGCAGAGCCAGGCAGAAGCCAGCCACCCCCAGCCAGCAGACAGACGCCTATCCTGAGGACGCCAGTGTCCTGCAGGATGGTGGCCCAGGGTCTGGGATGGAACAGCAGGTCACCACACTGGATGGGGTGGGAGGAATTGGAGTCATTCTGAGTTGCATTTGGCTTGTAGGGACAGTCGAAAGCTTGCTCCTTCATCTGGAACCCCAGCCTGGGGCGTGGCCCTTGCACCCTCGGAAGGAGAAGCAGAGAGAGCTAACAGGCTTCCCAGTGGCTGGCACTCCCGGGTGGTTACCTCATCACTGGCCCACGCATGGCCTGTGCCCAGGGTGTGTATGAGAACGCCATAGCTGCGTGGGCCCAGTCTCCCATCTGTGGGTTTGGGGTGAATTCCCACAGGAAGGACAAAGTTGGGGTGGGTTCAGGGGACCCACAGCCTTGCACAGCTGCAGTAGCAGGACAGTGGGCTGGTGCACAGGGCAGCACTGGCCACAGCAGGCAGCCGAGGAGTGGGCTGAGCGGGGGTCTCTGTCCCTCCCCATGGGGCCACCGCTCCAGGGAAGCCAGATGTCCACGGCCACCCAAGAAGGCCACTCCAGGGGGACGTGAGAACACAGCTGGCAAATTAAACCTCAGGGTGGGGCATGAGAAGGCCCCTGGTCAAAGCTGGCCTGGATCCTACGACTACCCCTGACTGATGACCACCACAAGCTGACCTGATGCATGCCCGCTGGAACCAGGAAGCCCTGGGCCAAGGAGTGAGGTCGACAGTACAGGGAGCACGAGGGCCAGGCAGAACCTCAGCGTGGCTCCAGGCAGGGCCCAGGGACAGCAGCTGCCCGGCCACTCCCTGTCCTCACATGGCCAGCATGGAGTGGCAGACCCTCAGTGCAGGGGCTCAGGACGCCCTGCTGGCCACCCCTCTCCCAGACCTCTCCAGCCAGGGCCTCACCTGGACCCCGGCCAGCACCGGGCAAAGGCCAGCGGGAGTGGTGTCCTAAGCGGCCAGGGCCTTGCAGGGACAGCAGCTCTGCCTGGGAGGAGGGGCCGAATGGGTGGGCCGTACTTTGCTCATCTTTTCATGCATTCGTGACACGCTGGTAGCTTTTCCCTGTGGCGGCCGTGAACATGACATACAAATCCCTTTCCAAGCCTCTGCTTTCCGTCCGTGAGGCACACACCCAGGAGGAGCCGCTGGGTGTGTGGCGTCTGATTTTGGAGGGGCTGCCTTGCTGTTTCAAACACCTGATCCACATGGGGCTTCCGGTTTCCCCACACCCTGGTGCACTGGTTTCTGTTTTCTTGGCAGTAACGCCTCGGAGGGGCTGAGGGCTATTTCATTACAGCTTTTTATCTTGATTTCCCATTGCTTGGTGCCATCAAGCACACTTTCACGGGCTTACTTGCTATCTGTGTATCTTTGGGAAAATATGTTTACCTTCTTTGCTGTTTTTAATTGGGTTGTTTTGCTACCGTGGGGTTGTAGTGTGCTTTATATATTCTGGATCTTAACCCTGTATCAGAAGATACTTTGCAAGTATTTCCCTGTAGAATATTCTGTTTTTTAGCCAGGTGTGGTGGTGTATGCCTGTCCCAGCACTCAAGAAGCTGAGGCAGGAGGATCACTGTGAGTTCAAGGCCAGCCAGCACTACATAGCAAGACCTTGTCTCAAAAAGAAAGAAAAAGAATACTCTGTCTTTTTACTATCTTTAATACTGAGCTTTGATGCACTAAATTTTAATAAAGTTCGATTTATCCATTTCTTCTTTTGTTATCTGTACTTCTGAAATCATGTCTAAGAAATCAAAGCCAAATCCAATGTTGTGAGGCTTTCCTTGCATGTTTTCTTCTAGGAGGTTCATACTTTAGCTCTTGGGGTTAGATCCTCAGGGCAGGATGCCCCGGCGCTGCCCCAGTCCCTTGCTTCTCTGTGCCTGACTCCTCTAGCACAGGTAGCAGAGGGCAGAGTCCTGAGCCACCCCCGAGTCCGCGGGGCCATCGTTCCACAGTGGCCTCCCCGTGGGTCAACACAGGTGTCGAAGGCCGAGTTATCTCCCCCCAGGGAGCTTCACAGGACTTGTGGGCAGGCTGGATCCCCAAGCCCAGCACATGTGCCAGCTGCCTCTCCTTGGTATATCATCAGCTGGATCCACAGATGCCACAATTTGCCACCCCAACCCCAACTCCCCAGGGAGGAAAGGGCACCTTGGAAGCCTGCTAAATGCACCACACTTCCTATGTGAGGGTCACTTGAGGCGCCAGCCTAGCCCCGCCTCAGCTGGCCTCTCGCCCACGTCCTCCCATCCTCTCAGCAGTGGGGAGGGAGGAAGTGTCGTTCGACCTTCTGTGCCCAGGACACGGTGACTCTGAGGAGTCCACAGGCTCGGTTCACGCAAAGGACAGTTCTGGGGAGAGGGCGGGGCACGGAAAGGAATGCAGCGCCTCTGTTGCTGCTCTGTCCTGGCCCTGCGGGCTCCAGGGCTGCCTGTCTGGCCATAATCTCTCTGGAATCTGCCTTGCTTTCTGTCCCTGTCTCTGCTTCTCCAGTGACTCTGTGCCCCAGGGACCCGGGCCTGCTCCAGAGCCACCGTACAGCCGCAGCCCAGGCATCCCAGGGTGGCTCGGCCGACCTGCTCAGGGTCTCCCTCGTGGGCCCCGTCCACGGCAGGTCATGCAGGTGCAGAACAGGAAGTGGGCAGTGCCCCTGTGTCAGACAGAGCCCTGGGCATGACCTCGGGCACAGCCCAACTGCTCACTGGCACCAGGCTGACCTCCCTCGATGGCCTCCTCTCCAGCCTGGGTGTACACACAGCCTGGCCCGCCCAGTGCCCAGAGGACGCAGGCAGGAGTCCTGGGCTGAAGTCCAGCAGGAGCTGGACTTCTCCACCAGCCTAAGAGGACAGTTGGGGGGCAGCAGCTCCCAGGACTTTCAGACAACTTAGGGAGCAGTGGGCAAGGTGGCTACCTGGCATTGCTTTGGGTGTCACGGGCGGGCTTGAGGGGCCCAGCGGAGCTGCCCTGCTGCCAGGCCTCTCCCGGAAGCCCTCCTGCTCCATGCCCAGGAGTGGCTGAGGGCAGGACAGGTCCACCCCTGCCTTTGATCTCACCCCAAGGCACCTCTGAGGCCTCATGAACTCTCGAAACCTGAGCTCAGACCCGTACTAGCACTGGTCCACGTGAGCAACAGCCACGGGCTGAGCCAGAGGACCTCAGCTTTGTCCTGGACAGAGGACACCTGCTCAGCTAACAGCTTGTTTGAGAAGGAAGTCTCTTCCCCCCAGTACTGGGAATTGAACCCATGACCTTTGCATTGAGCTACTTCCCCACACAGTACTTTTACTTTCAATACTCCTGCCTCAGCCTTCCAGAGTGCTGGGATTACAGGAGTGAGCACCATACCCAGCTGTGAGTGAAGTCTTGCTCTAGCTGTCCAGAAGGCCCCGTGGATGGCCACCCCATCTGCACAGCCTCCTCAAGCCCCTCCCCACCCAAGGGCCCCACTTGAGATCCTTCCCCTACTCCCTGCCCCCTCAGGTGCCAGGTAGAGCCAGGAGCTACCCAGGGATGTGCCCCCAGGGTCTGAACCTAGAGCCGGTGCTGGGGTGAGAGGGACTGAGCGAGCCCCCAGCTCTGCTCCTAGCAGGGCTGCATCTGGACAAAAGAGCTGCCTTGTCCCTGTGTGGGGACCCTGGCAGCAGTCCACTCGGGGGTGGGTTGAGCAAGGCCCTGGGACCCCAGAGGAGAACAGGGCCCAGGACTTCGGGGAGCTTTGTTTGAATGCAGGCACCCCCGCTTTCTGCACTGCGGTCTCAGCAGGTGGCCAGGCCCTGTCAGGGCTCCCTGGGCTCCCTGGGCTCCCTGGGCTCCTTGGGGATGGAGCACCGGCCTGCTGTCTTTCTCCACTGCAGTGACAACTACAGGAGAAGCACACACCAAGCTTCGGGGAGAGGCTCGGCTCGGCCCAAGGCCTCCCCAGCCCCACCTCTGGGGGGCTCTATCCCTGGTGGTCCCTCCTGGCCTGGCCCACCAAGCACCTCCCCACCTTCTGGACTGGCTGAAAACCCAGGGCTCTGAGAGGGAGCCTCCCCAGAGCCCCACACAGGCCAGCCTTCCCCACAAGAAGGCTGTGGCACCCCCTTCTGCAGAGGGACCCCGGCAACATCAAGCTGGCTCTGGGTATGCCAGCTAGGACTGAGGTCCCCGAGGTTGGGGGAGACGCACATTCACCCGTGGGGCCCAAGCGATGGAGCTCTGTGTGCAGACAGCCAGCCAGGGGTGCAGGACCGGCTGTGCCTTGCGCCCTAGAAGTGTCCTCCCTGCCCAGAAACACACCCTTTCTTCCCCTCACTACTCTGATGGCTGGGGCTGGTGCCGTGGCAGTGCCTTGGGGTTCATGTGCATGAGTTGGGGGAGCCCCAGAAGGGCTCTGGGGGCAGAGGTGGGGCAGGCAGGGCTCCACTGTGCCTCGGCAGGAGCTCCCTCCCGTGTCTCCTCCCACGGTTGAGAAAGTTAGTTTAGGATTCTTGGTGAAGTGCAGCCCAGGCTGGGTGGGCAGTGAGCACTGAGTCCACCTGAGCAAACGGGCGTGGGGAGAGGCCACCCCCAGGGGTGTCTCAAGGGGCAGCTTCACTCCCGGTCTCCGGGGAGCCGCTTCCCGCCACAACGTTCCTCAGGCCCAGAATGAGTACTGTACTCGTTTCCAGGGAAACCCAGCCCTCGGGCAGGCGTCCCAGTTGCCACAGCAACAGCCCTGGCTTGGTTGGACTGGCGGTTGGTTTCAGCACTGAGCTGGGCAGCTGTGTGCCCGGGCTCGGGTCTCAGCACAGCAGGACAGGACCCAGGCAGGTGCGAGGCAGGAGCGCGGCAGGTGCACTGGCCAGGCCGGGGCAGGAGATGCGTGGGGAGCCACGCCACACTTTCCTCGAGGCCCTGTGTGCTGGTCAGCCATGAGCTCCGACTACAGCGAGTCTGGGGACCAGGCCTCCATGGAGCCGCCCCCGCTGGGGCTGGCCGCTGTCATCCAGGTCAGTGAGGTGGCTGCCCTGATGCTGCAGGGCACCTCGGGGCACTGCACAGAGGGGACTGGCGGCTTCTCCAAGGCCAGGCACTACCTGCCCACTTACATGTGCACATGCATGTGCACGTGCCAGGGCAGATGTGCTCAGGCACGCACACTCACACACACACACACACACACACACACACACACAGGGGAGCCTGGCAGGCACCACGCAGCAGCCTAGGGATGGACCCCTCTGCCTGGCGCTCTGGGTTCATCCGCTGTCCTCCACCCTCCACTTCCTTTGTCCAGGTGTGGGAGCTGGCTGGGCTGCCTGGACGGGGGCTGCCGTGGGGGTCCCCAACTCCCACTCTGTCAGTTCCGCTGTCTGTCTTCGTGGCACTCACCTGCAAAGCTACTATACAGACCCAGAACAGCTTCAGGGCCCTCTTCCCTCACCCTGGCTTCTGGACGCCCCCTGCTCCCCTAACCAGCATGCCCTGCCTCCCTGTGCTTGTCACCCCATTGTAGCCACCAGAGCCAGGCACTTCCTACACCTTGGGGATCCCAGTGCACCCCAGACAGACCGGTGACTCAGCTGTTATCAGCCTGGCCCTCAGTCCCTGGAGCCCTGCTGTGAGGGCAGATGTAGCCCTAGATAAACACCACCTGTCCCCTGGGAGGAGTAATTGTCCGAGGTGGCGCCAGGTGGCTAAATGACATGGCCATATCAGTGTGCACACACACATGCACGTACACACACACACACACACACACAACACACACACACGGTTGCCCGTGCAAGGGCAGAACGAGGAGAGGAGCCTGGTGGGACTTTCACCTGCCGGCCACTCTGTGTTGCGCTGGTGACCGAGGGAGGAAGCGGCAGAGCCTCAGTTCGCGCTCAGCCTGCATCACACGTGGCCTCCTGCAGCCCCTTCAGGGCCCTGACAAACCTAGACTCGGGGGTGGACGGAGAAACGCAGAGCAGTGCCAGCCCCGCCGCAGGGGCGCGAGTCAGGGCGGCTGGGGCTGTGCCTGCCCCCAACTCCCACTGTCCCCCTCGGAGCCCCCTGAGAGCCATGTGGAGCTGGGCGACGCTTGCTATTTGCGTTGTCGGTGATTGAGATCTCGGTCCGATTACCAGGGTGAGCAGGCAGCACGGGCGCCACCAGACACTCAGACAGGCCCACTGGGACGGGGTGGCAGGACACGCCTCCCAGCAACCACTGAATGCTTCGTCTCTATGGCCCTGACAACTCCAGATAAACGGAGCCAGACAGTACTGTCCTTCGTGACAGGTCCCTGCCCCGGCGTGACGACCTCAGGTCCATCCATGCTGCAGGTGGGCCAGGATTTCCCTCCTTTTCAAGGCTGAATAACACTCCATGGTATGGATGGCTTCACGCTGCTCACCCACTCGCCCACTCGCCCACTCGCCCACTCTCTCAGGGTTAGCAACAGCCAGCACAGCTCCCAGAAGCAAGCAGAGCCCTACTCTTCCCAGCACGTGAAAGAGTTGCTCAGGGCAAGGCCGGGAGCAGCCGACACCCAGACCTAGCGCCCAAAGCCCTCCCCGCTGCCTCCTTCAGGGCTCCCATGGGAGCCTCATCATTCGGCACTGCTGAGCCCATCTCCGGCCATCACTGGTCAGCTCGCTCACTGCTCCTGGGCAGTCTGAAAGTCAAGGAAGAGGGTTCTAGCCCTCTCATCCGAGCACCGGCCCCAGCCCAGCTGTCCCATTAGCACATGGGAGACTCTCATCCTCCATAGTTCTGAGGGTGCAGGGCCACCACAGTGCAGGCCCGCAGGGACGGGGACCAGGAATGTACAGAGAGGGGCTCAGCCCTGCCCAAGCTGCAAGCCCTGCGCATCCGTGAGCAAGCTGGGGACAGGCTGGCCCCGTGCAAGTCTCCTGGGACTCCTGCTGTGCCAGGTGGCCCTGCACTCACCATGGGCCACTTCCACTGGCTCAGGGGCCTCTCCCTGCCACCCACAGTGGAGATCGGCCCCACACTCCTCACTGGGTGTTCAAGGCCCTTGCACCTGCTCTGTCCTCTCCCTGCCTCTCCTCCCAGGCTCCCTGCAGATTTTGTCCTGGGCCTGGCTTCACTTGCACTGTTCCTGCACTCGTGCACACGCATGCACACACGTGTAAACCCACACCTGCACTGTCGGCTGTTAGGCTCTTTCAGTCCACCTGCCACCTTCCCAGGCAGCCTGTGTGGGTACCATGGCCACAGGAGCAGACAGGCCAGACAACATCCTCAGCCTCCAAAACATGCTTTGCTGTCACTTCGTAGTTTGTGATTCACACCTTTGGCAGTTCCAGCTGGGTTTCCAGCCATTCACTTCTCGGGCACGGTCTGAGCCTCATGTGCCGAGTCCCGTGCTGCGGAAGTCATCTGCTTCACCCCGGTGCCCGTCTCAATGCCCAGCCTTCAGGAACTCCTGGGTTCACTACTAGTCGAGGAGCAACGCCCCCACCGGCCAGCAGCAGGCGCCTGTCCTGGTGTGCAGCCAGCCCGAGCACGGAGAGCCTGAAGTGAGCAGTAGCCTCGGGGAGGTGGCCGTTGCCCAGCACACAGCAACTCTGTTCTAAAGATGCAGGGCTGGCAGGGGCCCTCCTGCCCAGGGCCATCTGCAGGAGGCCAGGCTGCGGAAGGATACCGCCGGCTGGACCTAGATGAAGGGAGGGCCTGTGGGCACTGGGCTCTGGGCATCCACGGAGAGCTGGCTGTCCAGCAACTATGACCGCAGTGTCTGGGATCCAGGGTGGGGTCCCAGGCTGGCACAGGACTCTCGGGTGGTGACTGGAGGCATCCCACCTGCCCAGCCTCTCTCCCGTGAGGAGGCCAGGCATCCTGACTCAGGTCAAGAGGAAGGACATGAACGGCCTGTTCATGGAAATGCTTTGAAAGCAGGGTCCACCCGACATGCCCCACCTCACACACCAGGCACTGATTGCTAGAGCCAGAGCCCAGCCTGACTCCTGGAGCGGGACCGGTGGCCCTCTTGCAGTTGCCTGTGGAACCACGCGGGGGCAGTGCCTCCCCGGCGTCCTTCCCGGCCTTTGCGGCCTCAGCCGCCCGACCCTGGTGTCGAGGTTGTGCTGGGCACGCCGTCCCTCTGTGATTTTAAATGAAGGTCTCAGTGCCGTGGCCTGCCTCTGCCAGGCCCCAGGTGTGGGGGAGCCTCACCTGCCTCCACTGGAGGCTGCTGGGGTGGACACACCCACCTGGCCTGCCCTGCACAGCTGGGAGCCGGTATGGAGTGGGAGCAGGGCCTGGGGAGCTGGGCCTGGCCCCTCCATGTGCATCTCCGTCTCCATCTCCATCTTTCGGGGCCGGCTTCCCCCTCTCCAGCTCTTCAGAAGGTGGCCAGACCTGCTGGGCTGTGGGAGTGGGGCGTTGCGGTCAGCCTCTGGGAGTCCCGTGCCCAGCTAAAGGCCGCTGTCCAGCTCACTGCCTCCAGCCCAGCTTGGGACCACAGGGGCCTTGTGTCCACACCAGGGATTCTGATCCCAACTGTCTGGAGGGAGCACCAGGAGGAAGGGTTGTGCCCCAGGGACCCCGGTGGGAGGAGGAGGCTGCAGCCACCCCACGAGGCCATGGGCACCCTGGAATCCCTGCACCTCTGCCCCTCACCTGGACCCCCAAGGTGGGTACGGCCTCCACTCATCTCCTCCTTAGGGTTGAATTGCTGTCCTTGGACTCAGTTTACCCATCTGCAGCATAGGTAAGACAGTAAGGCCCACCCCTTGGAATCTTTAGCCAAGTCCTATAATGGAGGAGGAGGTGAGGGACAGGGGTCAAAGCATCCCCAGGACCCCCACCCCAGGCCCCACAGCACCCCTCCAAGGGCTGGCAGGAAGGAAGTAGTGTGCCCCCGAGTGAGATGGGGCGCGGCACTCACCACACCTCCCCGGACCTGCAGCCCAGGGCCCTGGGGCCCAGCAGGTCCTTTTTACCAGCCCAGGCACACAGATGGGGGCGTGGGCTCAGGAGGGGCACAGAGCTCTTGGAGAGAGTCCTGATCAGACCCTGCCTGTGTTCCTCCATTCCCTCACAGGACTGCGGTTCCCCCCCGCCCCCGACAGCCATGCAGAGCGGGGAGCAGGGAGGGATGGCGGGGTCCCTGGGTCCTTCACAGGGTGGGGTGGGGGGCTGGCCAGGGCCCAGCTCCCAGCGCTAAGGGCAAGACTATGGATAGAGGAGAGAACTGGGGGCAGGAGGAAGGCCAGGTTCAGCTGGGTCGGGGTCTTTTGGGAGCCGTGGGCCCAGCCTCAGTGTCCCCCAACTCTCCCCACTGCCTCACCCCCACCAGGTCCTGGCTAGCCAGGAAGAACCCCAACTGGAGCAGCTGACCCCTCCTGGCTGCAGGGCCCCAGGCAACAAGCTCTGGTCCCCTTGCTGGGCCTGGGGACACAGGGCAGAGGACGGAGGGGAGGAGCAAGCTAGAGAGGGCAGCAGGGAGGCAGGCGCCTGAGGAAGGGGCTGCCGGTGCAGGCTGCATCCTCCCCCATTTCCCCGTCCTTCTGCGAACCAGATAGGAAGGCAAGCGGGGAGCAGGCCTGGGATGCCCCACCTCCCCCTCCCTCCCCGGCGGTCAGGCACCCGGCCGCAGCTGGAACCCATTACGCCCATGCGCCTCTCGGGATGCGGCTCATAAGTGACCCTCTGTGAACGCTCGGAATGAGTCAAGTCCGAGCTGTGCGCCGCCTTCCCGTTAGCGGGTGGCGCCACGGGTGGGGTATTTGGGGGAGTGGAGGGGGGAAGCAAGAGGGAGCGCGGGAGCTTCCGGCCTGGGGCGGCCAAGCCAGCTCTCTGGTCTCTAGGAGGTGTCCTGGGGAGCTGTGTGCCGCCGTGGGGCCTTCCCCCCTGTGGGAAGGAAGGGGCCAGAACAGGCGCAGGCTGGACCTCTTCCCGCCCTCGCCTGGGGGGCGGGCCGGGTCTGCCCACGCCCCGCCTGTGCAGAGGGGCTGCCGCAGGCTGTCAGCTGTCCTGCTGCTGCTGCAGGGGAGGCCGCTTTCCCGACGCACCTGGGTCTTCTGGGGATGGGTGAGGGTGGGGCCTCTCCAAGCCCTGGGAGGCAGTGGGGGCCCACCTCACACGTGCATATGCACACAGGCACACACGTGCACTCCGCCGTGTGCACACCCATGCCCATGCACACGCGTGCTAGCTCAGAAGCTGTGCACCAGGCCCCACAGTGTCTCTGGGCCTCCAGGTGCCGTGCACAGCCTGGGTCTTGGTGACTGGAAGTAACCCCCAGCAGACAGACCCAGATGTCGGGAAGCAGGGAGGCAGGGTGCCCAGTGACCACAGGACACGGAGAGGCCCGGCCAGGGCTGGAGCAGGGAAAGGGCAAGAGGGATGGGGCAGGGTAACCCAGGGGGCCCCCAGCTCAGGCTGCAGGTCAGAGCCAGGGCAGTGGGGACGGAGCGGGAGAAGGCAAGCAGGAAGCTGCGGGTGGGGAGGGGTCCTCCTGCGTAGGGGGGTCTGGGGGGACCTCGGGGACAAGGGTTCTCCCTTCATGGCCTGGGAGCCAGGGAGCGGGGCTGGGAGACTGGCTGCCTCCTCAGGAGCCTGGGAAGTAGAATCATCCCAGCGTCCCCTCTCAAGCCCGCAAGCCGCTCTTGAGGAGGCAGGCTACCCTGTGCCTGCCGGGCTGCCTCCCATGTGCAGCACTTCCCTGCTGCCGAGGAGGGGGCAGCCCCAGCACCTGGCGAGAGAGCCCTGTTCAGGCCCCAGCTGGCCAGAACGCAGGACCCCCCATGGGTCACCTCTGCGACTGGACCTGGAACTTTGTGCCTAGTTCAGGCCGTGTGGGCCTCTTCCCTGGCAGCTCAGCTGCTCAGGCCCCTCCAGGAAGGAGGGTACCCCGGGCTGTCCACCCCCAGGCCTGAGGGGAGCCCATGTGATAGCCGTGCCAGCCTCCTTTGGGAATGGAGGGCAGATGGGGTCTTGGCCCATGGCACTCAGGCCCTGCTCTGTCCCTTCCTGGCTCAAAGCCACTGGGGCTGGGGCTGACCCCAGCCAGGCCTTCTCTCCTCCTTCTGGACACCCACTTTACAGGTGGGAAAACCAAGGTACCTGCCTTGCCCTGACCTCTTCAGGGCCTTTGCTGTGTTGGGGTGACCTGGCAGTGACCCCCACTAATCCAGTGGGCTCATGTGGTTGCCTGGCACTGTCCAAGGCCTGCCTGATGCCAGGTGTCTCTGGGGTATTTTTCAGAGGTTGGAGGACACCATCCTGAGCCCCAGAGCCAACAGGGAAGACCGGGCGCTAACCATGCGTGGGGAAGGGCAGCAGGCCTCACCCACCCCTGTGCCTGCCCGAATCCGTGAGATCGTGGCTGGCAGCCTGGCCGGGGAGCCACCCCGAGGTGAGAAACAGAGCGGCACCCTAGAAGCTGCATCAGGGTGCCAACCCTGGACTGCCCTGTGGCCCCATGCCCCACCGGCCTGCTGGCCCTCTGTCCCCAGGGTATCCTTGGGGCACTTATCTCTAGCATACAGGGACTGACGCTGTAGCAGCAGCACCCCAATTGTTTCCTCCTGATCTCTTCCTGGCATGAGAACTCTAAGGGATCATATTGATCTGGGAGCACATAACCCCCACCCCATGCCCTGGGCCTTGCCCATGTCCCTCAGCCAGTGCCCGGCAGCAGCACCCTCATTGTCGTGCTGAGGGCGAGCGAGCCTGAGGTGTGGTCCTTGGGCCAGGCCTTGCAGCAGTCAGGCTGTCTGCCCAGTGTGGCCTGTGCCCTCTCACCCACACTGAGAAGTCTGTCCTGCGTTCTAAAGGAGTGGGGAGCCCCTGCACGGCGGTGAGGAGAGAGGCCCCAATAGTGTATTTGGGAGGGCGGCCCCTCCCTTGGGGATGAGGCACCTGTCCTGGTACCCAGCACCCAAGCCTCTGAGCATTGCTTCATTGGTGGGGCCTCAGCCTGGACGATCAAGCATGCTGAGGCCTGGGAACACGAGGACTGGGGTACGGGGCTTCCTGGCAGGGGCTGCTGACAGCCCGCACTCACAGGGGTGCAGGAGCTGCCTGCCGCTGTGGCCCGTGTGCAGGAGGAGAGCGACCTGCTGCAGGAGGAGCTGGCCCGTCTGGAGGGTCTGCTGGCCCAGGCGGGCGCCGAGCGGGATGAGCTGGCGAGCAGGTGCCACGTGGTCAGTGAGCGGGTGAGTGTGTGGGCTCAGCCTGGCCCTCGATGAAGGGTCACCTATTGGAGACCAGAGAGGGCAGTGTGACACATCCAGACACTGGGCCACAAATGGGTAAACTGAGGCCGCGATGGAGACCCCTGCTGGGCCACTCCCAGGCGTGGTGGCTTCTGAGCAGAGGATTGTGGCAAATACAGGTGGAGGCCGCGCTGCAGGGACAGAGCCCCGCCCCTGGCCACCACTCATACCGTGCTCGGGCCCCCTTGAGCTCTACACCGCAGGGATAACGGGGAAACTGAGGCTCAGAGCGCAGTGCTCGCCAGGGCCACCGCAGGGTGGGACCCAGGCCTGAGCACCTGTCCTTCCTGGTGTGTGAACAGCACTGGTACCGAACACCCTCAGGCCGTGGGCCCCACGCTCTGGGCTCCCTGGAGGTCCCCAGGGTCCCGAGGGCCCGCCCTCCTGTGAGCCTGGCCCTGCAGCCCCCTTTCCTCCGCGCCCCACCCTGAGTGGGAAACGCCTGCCCCAGTTCTAGGGCAGGACTGCTCGGGCCGCCCTGACCCAGGAGCTCTGGCGGCAGCCTGTGGTCCCCTGCTCACACTGGCCTGTCAGGCAGGGGTGGGATCTTCCTAGCACAGGGTGGAGCTGTTGGGAACAGCCCGAGGGGACAGAGGCCCGCAGAAGCCCTGCGGTTAATAAGCCTGTGAGTCAGACCTGAGCCTAAGATTGCAGGGTGGGGGCGCCAGTCTGGCCTCCTCCAGGTCCCTCCAGGCAGGAAGGCAGATGAGGTCTTGGTGTCCAGTGTGACAGGATGGCATGCCATCAGGTCCAAAGCCTTTCCCACCTTACTGAGGGCTGAGGGGACACTAGGCCAGCCACAGGGCCCTGTCCTCCCCTAACCCTCAATCAGGCCCCTCCTCTCTGTCACTTCCTGGGCCTCGAGGCCAGCTCTGTCCTGTAACAACCCCATGGCCCTGGGCCCTGGGTCCTGGTGTGTCTTTCTAACTCCACTGTGGATCACCCAGAGCACTCCTGTGGGTCAGCAGCCTGGGGTTCTGCAATCCACGGCAGAACGCTTCCCGGTCCCCTCTGGACCAGGGCTGAGAGGTGGTCCAGGCTGGATAGCTCCCCCGGTGCCTTCTATAGCTGACCCATGTGGCTGAGCTGGGCCCTGAGGCCATCCTCCTGCCCTGTCAGCTGGGGATCCCGCGCCACAGGGACATCAGAGCCTCAGTCTACCCATCTATCCGTGAAATGCAGATGTGGGAATCTCTAGGGCCTCCAGAGCCCTGCCTCCCAGGTCTGCTCCCAGGGCTGGGTGGGGTGATTGCACAGCCATGGTCCCCTGATGGGCTGCTGGCCCCCAGCTGCAGGCCCGGCTGGAGACCACTGAAGCACAGCTGCGGAGGTCGGAGCTGGAGCACAGCGTGGACTTGGAGGAGGCCCTGGGCTGCCTGGAGGCCTCAGAGCAGAGGTGAGGCCGGGCGGTAGGGCAGCAGGGTCAGGATGGAGGCCTCACCATCCCAAGCTGCAGTCCCACCTGCTTGAGTCTTGTCCGTGGGGGACAGTGCTGAGAGGGAAGGTGGGTGAGGGAAAAGTTGGCCTCATGGCAGTGCCCCTCTGGGGCCGCCCAGGGGAGGATGCTGGGTGCTCCCTCCAGTCACACTGGGCTCCTCAGCACACCCCTTCATCGTGCAGCCTCACACTGGAAGTGTGGCGACAGTGCCATGCCTGGGCCTCCTCCACCTAGGGCAGCCTCTGCAGCTCAAGCCCTGCTGTGGCGTTCCCTGGCCCTGTGCACCAGGTGCCAGCTGGCCCCTGATGCCTGCTGAGGCTGGAGCCAGGGCCATCACTGCCCATGCTGGCTCTCTCCCTGCTGACCCGACTCCCTGCCCTCTGGGCTCCAAACGTCTCTGATTTCACGATCAATGCTCTTCTGCTGACCTTTGCAAGCATTGGTCCCACCCAGCACCCAGTGACAAACTCGAGGTCCAACTTGAGCCCAGGAACTCAGTCCTGACCCCAGACTCCACCACTGGCCCAGCACCCCACCACAAAATCAGCACCTTAACACCAGCCCAGCGCCGCAGCACTGGCCCAGCACCCCACCCCACCCTCAGCTCTCACATTTGCAGCCCCACCTGTCCCTCAATGGGCCACAGGGAGGGCTCTGCATTGAGGCCACGAGCCCTTATCTCTAGGCCCCAGGTCCCCAGACCTGGGGTCTAAGCATCTGTGGAACATGTCCCACAGCTGGTGCATCCTCTGGGAATCTGGGAAAGGACACGAAGTGCTGAGAAGCATTTTGAAAACCAGTTTTGATAGGGGAAGTAGCCCAATGGAGGCCGATGCCTGAAGAGTGTGACCGTGGACTGCATGTGGCCGTGCAGTCCAGTGTGTCGCATGGTCAGCCCAGCCACGGTGCAGACCTGATGGCTGGAGGGGCCTCTCCCTGCCAGGGACCCTCCTCTGGGGCCCTGTGGGCTCATGCTCCTCTGGGACTGAGGGGCACCCGAGGGTGGATGCAGAGCTGCGAGGGATTGGGAGGAGGCCGGAGGGAGGGCACGGGACTGGTGCTCACTGTTCTCCCCATCCTGCAATCTGAGGGGCCCAGTGCAGGAAGCCGATGCTGCTCAGGTAGAGCTGGGGCTCAGGCTCCTTGGAGCTCTTGATTTGGGGCTGGGACTCAGCAGCCAGCACTCATCATGCACCCTTGTGGATCTGTCCACCCAGGAGCTCCAGCCTTGCCCAGGTGAACGCCCTCCTGCGAGGACAGCTGGAACACATGCAGAAGGCCAACGACAGGCTGGCTCAGGAGCTGGCCAGGGCGACGGGCAGCGTGGTCCACCTGCAGCAGCAGCTGGAGCTGAGGGGGACGTGGCGCTGGGCCAAGACACAGGTGTCCCCTCCCCCTTCACCTTCCTCAGGGCCTACCTGCTGTGGAGGGTGGGCAGTGCGTGAGAGCAGAAGCTGGCCGCACCCTCCATCTGGCTCTGTGATAGCGGTCTGTAGTGCTAAGGACACTCTGGCCCCCTTTTCCTGGGGGAGAAGGACAGGCCCCTGGGCATGAGTCAGGCCTGGTCCTGGCTCAGGTAGGGACGGCCCTGTTGCTGCAGGGTGGACACCGGCAGAGCCTCAGGCTAGTGCTGCTCGCTTCTGCCTGGGCCACAGCCGAGAGTTCAAGACCCTGAGCCCAGGCTACAGCTCTTCGGGAGGGAGACATCCAGGTGTGACATTCCGCCTGTCCCTGACACAGGACCCTCTGAGCAGAGTGTAGCCATAGCTGAGTGGCTCTCTGTGTGTGAGGAAGAGTCCCAGCAGGACTGACGTGTCCCCAGCTGGCCCATCAAAGGAGCCTGGACACACAGCCAGTGTCCACAGCATGCTTCTGTGGTGGGACTTCTCTCCCTTGAAGCCTCCCCACACTGTCCCCTTCAGTATGTCCTCCCCAGGAGGCTGTCCCTGCCTCCCACAGCTCGTCAGGCAGGAGGAGCGCCACGGGGCTCCCCACGGCAAAGGTCAGCCAGCGGCTGCACACTGCCACCCAGAGCAGAGGGGACAGAGCATCAGACGAGCCCGCTGAGGTGTGACCCGGCCTCACAGTGCGTCACCAAGGGAGCTTGAAACTTCTAACGAAGGGCTTTCACATGGGGTGGAGATGGCACCCGCTGTGGCCTTGTCTCCTGCTTTTGGCAACTGCAGGAGCAGTTTCACTGTGTCACAGGTTCCGGTCAGCATTCACTCCTCCTCGAAGGTCTCATGTTCACTGTCCGAGGTGAACGCACTCCTGGCTGGCTGTGCTGGTCCGGGGCTGTGCAGGGCCTTCTGGGGCTGGGGCTTCCCATCCTGTGCTGTGCAGGAGGCTGGTGCCACCGCCTCGTGAGCCCACGCAGAGGCCCAGGTCTCAGCTTTGGACTGGTATTCAGCAGCCTCACAGCCCTGCGTCTCTGTGTGCATTTGTTCCCTATGCTGTGTATGGTTCATCAAGGCTTCACCTTTTGTCACTTTTGGAAAAGCCATCACTCCTTTAGCTGCTGCCCTGCTCCCCACCTCTCCCCCTGCACCCAGCGAGGTGCGACCCCCTCCTGCTCTGAGTTGGCGCCTGGTGCCGTACTGGGTTGCACGGGGCGATGTCCTCACACCCACCCTCCTGTTCTCCAGAGTCCTCTTCTGAGGTCAGATGTCCTGTCGCTGCTTGGCGTAGGCTCTGAATGTCATCTTTCTCGCCTCTGGAAGTTCAGAGTCTCCCCAGAGACCTCACCCGCACCTGCTATCTCCCAGCCTAGCTGGTTGGCTGTTTAGAGCAGTTGCTGTGTGTGCCGATGTCGCGATGCAGTTTAAGGACTGGACTTTGCCGTCCTGCTGGCTACTCGCCTGGTGCTTTTCTCCTTGTATCTTTGGTGATTTTTGTTTTTTAACCAAGAACTGCTTATTTTCCTTGGAACTTTGTGAAAATTCTTGGAAATCCGGAGTGAATGTAGTATTTCCAGAAAGGATATTGGCTTCTGAAGGGTGCCTGTAGATTTTCAGCCTGAGTGTGTCTGAGAACTCCAAGGCTGTGTGCATGCGCAAGTGTGTCTGAGAACTCCACGGTTGTGTGCATGCGGGCTGCAGCTGTGTGATGTCTTGCCTGTGGGCCCAGATCCATGGGGCAGGTTTTCTTCCCCTGCTCACTTCCAGCATTCTAGAAAGGCAGCGTTCTCCTGCTTTAGCTCACATGTGTATGATGTGGGTGTGCGAGCATGTGTGAGTGTGAATGCACATGTGTGAGTGTGTTTATGTACATGTGGTGTGTGTGCCATGCATGTATGTCAGAAGGAAGAGTGGTGTGTGCATGTGTGTGTCAGAATGTATGGGTGTGGTGTGTGAGGGTGTGTGAGTGCCTGTGTTGGAAGATAGCAGTGTGGTGTGCGAGTATGCACATATGAGTCTCCAAGACTGGTATGAGCATGTATGTGGAGGGTGTATTTGTGTGTGGCTCTGAGTGTGGTATGTATGTGAACATGTACATGTGGCATTGTACATATGCATGCATGTATGGTATGTGTGTGAACATGTAGGTAAACCTGGAGTGTGTGGTGTGTGCATGTGTGGTCTGTGTGTGTGGTGTGTGTGCTTGCGTGTGAGCATGTGGTGTGTATGTGAATGTGATGGTGGCATGGGTGTGTCAGAGGTGTTCTGGCCCTTCTTCTAGTCGTCCGGCCTGTGCTGCACCCCCTTCTCTACCGCAGCTCAGGGACGTCAGCCGCATGTGAGGAGACCCCACACCTGGACTCTGTTCCCAGCATACCTTGGGCCAGGGACGAGGTGTGCGAGTTGCTTTTTCTGGCAGGAAGCTGCCTGCTTGCCTATCCAAGCCCTGGATCCTTGGCTGCAGCTGCCCAGCGCTGCTCAGAATAAGCTTGGGCCTGGCATCTCTCGCTGTCCACGTGCAGGGGGCCAGCAGGGCTCTGAGTAGCTCACGGAGGATAAGACTGTGAGGTCCTGAGCCACACAGCACAGTGTGGGTGGAGCACCCGGCTGGCAAGGCCAGGTGACTCCAGCAGGCCCCAGAGGAGGGTGCAGGGTGGAGCCACAGCCTTGTTCCCTACGGTGACCCTAATCCACCCACCTGATCATAGGTCCTTTCTTTCCAGGCGGCAGAGCTGTCCCTGAACAGGCCTGTGCCTGGACGGCTTCTAGCGCCCCCTGGTGTAAGGAGGCTGTCCTGGGCCCGAGGGGACGCTGGGTAGGGTGCCAGGCTGAGCCAAGGAAGCATCCAGCATGCGTAGGGCCCTGGGTCTGGGGAGGCCTCACCCTGAGCAGCCCCATTCCTGGTCACAGCCCTGCCTTATGGGGCCAGTGGGGGGCTCCCACCCCAACCCCCTGCACTGCCCTGGCAAGTGCGGAGAGCTCTCCCCTGGGGACACAGAGAGGTTCCAGGGCCAGGGTTCATGCATCTGGGACCTCAGACCTCCAGGATCTGGTGGACAGCAAAGCTCCACCCCTGTGGCACCAGTCCAGCCTGCAGTGGACATGAACCTCTCCTTCCAGGCCTGGCCACCAGGACCCAGGGAGCCCCGGGACTTGCTCCTCCTATGGAGACAGGCTGTGGCGCTGCGGGCACAGCTGGCAGAGCTTCGAGCGGCCACAGAGAGGTGAGCACCACACACACACATGCACACACACAAGCTGGCTCTGGCTCTGCCCACCCTCGAGCTGGCTGGCGGGAAGCCCAGTAGGGAGAACAGAGGGCAGGGGGAGATGGAAGGGAGGAGGGCAGAGTGGCACCTGCCTGCCTGCAGCTTTGGGGACACACCCCGTCATGGCAGGCACCTCATGTGGGTCTATCCTGGGGCCCCCGGCACCACCCCTCTTGCATACAAGGGTGATACAGCTCAGAGGGCAGCGTCCTGTCTGAAGCCGTCCTGTCTGGCCAGGCCCCAGCCCCTGCTCCCCTCCTCCAGCTGTGCCCCTGCGCTCTATGGCACAGGAAGCCTCTCCTGAGGACGGCCAGGCCTGACACAGTTTGGTCAGCCACCAGGCTGCAGCCAGGTCCCAGGGTTCAGTGGGGGTGTACCCCGTTCCCAGGGGTCTTGCAGACATGCGAGCAGATGCAGCCAGGACAGCACGGCGCCTGCATGTGGCCTGCCTGAACCTCGACTCCAACCTGCGGCTGGCAGCTGACTGCACAGCCAGCGCCCTGGAGCAGCAGCTGGGGGAGCAGATCCGAGAGGTGCTGCAGCTGCAGGGCCGCTGGGACGCAGAGAAGGCAGCACTGCAGGCCAGGTGGGCACCAGCCTGCAGGGAGGGCCAGCGCACAGCCATGCATAGGCGTGTGGCTCCCGGGGCTGTCGCCTCGTCCTGCCCTGGGGTCCGGATGCCCCCATGTGCTGACACCAGGGCACATTACTCATCCACATGCTGACCTCAGTCTCTGTCCCCATGGCCAGGTCTGAGCCAGTCTTCTGGAGGCAAAGGTTAAAGTCTCCCTGATGCCAGGGGTCACAGTGGGCGCTGCAGGGAGTACCTGCACTGTTCCCTTGAGGCTGGAATCCAAGGGTGGGTGCATCAGGTTCAAAGCAGAAATGTCTTCCTGGGCAGGAACTGAGGCCAAGGGGCTGGTTCCCTTCTGTCCCAGGGGAACAAGACCAACATCCTTCTGGAGGTCTGTGAGCCTCATGGGAAACGTGGAAGGTTCTGGACCCACAACCCACATTTGAGGCTCAGAAGTCTCTTGAGCAGCGGAAAAAATACACAAACTGGGTAGAGTGGCACACATCTGTAATCCAGCACTTGGGAGGCTGAGGCAGGAGGATTGCCATGAGTTCAAAACCAGCCTGAACCACATCATTAAACCCTATATCCAAAAAAGAAAAGAAAATAGGAGACAGCCCTGGGCCACAGGCTCAACACCATGGACCAGGAGCTTGGCCAGACACCCTACAGGCTGGCTGGTGCCAGCCCTCCTACCTTCCAGGGCTCCAGAGGAGTAAGTGTGGGCTGAGGGGAGCCGTGCAGCCAGCCGCAGCCGTCTGGGCAGCAGGGCCAAAGAAGGGCCCCAGGGAGGAGGAAGGTAGTCAGGCTGATGCCGCAGGGAGCGAGCTCTGAGCAGAGGGTCTGCTTGGCCAGGGCAGAGACCGAGCCCACCAGCTGTGCTGGGAGAACAGGGCAGGGCCCAGCACTGGACACGGGGCTGCCGAGCTGAGCTGGGTCAGGGTGTGGGCCTTGAACGCCGAGGTCAGGACGGGCACTTTACCCTCAACCTGGGAGCCACTGAGGGGTAATAGCAAGAGCTGTGTGATCCACCTTGGCAAGGGGAGCACCCTGGGGACGGGGGTCACTCCGGGAGGATCCTGGACACGGCTGGGCATCCTCGCGGCTCTCCCTCCCTTAGGCTGTCTGAGCAGATGCTACTGGTGGAGGAGCTCACGGTGCAGAGCGAGCAGAAGGAGAGGACGATTGCGTCCTTCAAGCTGGACATCCAGAGACTGGCATGTGGGGCTGCGGGGACGGGGGGCCCATGCTGATGTCTGTCTGCCTGGCTGAGGGGTCTCTGCCCACAGGAATCTGGGCAGCGCAGTGGGGGCCGCCTGGAGGAGGACGCCCTGCGGGCCGAGGCCGAGTCCCTGCGGGCTGAGCTCAAGTCCCTGCGGAGCGTCCTGGCCAGCATCAAGGAGGTTCGGCCCACCTGGTCCTGGAGGGCCGGCCAGGCGACCCAGGGGCCCAGTCTAACTGCGGCCCTGCACTCTGTCTCCTCTGTCCCTGCTTTGCACCCTGGAGGTGGCCCAGGCAGACACCAGGAGCCCGGAGCGACTGAGGAGCAGCACAGAAGGCGAGGAGGTGCGGGGCCAGTGGAGGAGCCCCCGCCACAGCCTGTCCCCGCCGCAGGCCTGCACCCAAGCCAGCCTGGACCCCACACTGCTGGCCGTGCAGGCAGCCATGGGGAGGGTGCAGCAGAAAGAGCAGGTGGGGCCGTGGGCGTGGGTGTGATCAAGGCCAAGTGCACAGCCTGGAGGGGCCCCTCACAGCAGCCCACCCACAGGAGCTGCGCCTGCAGCTAGAGTCCTCACGGGCGGTGGCTGCCGGGCTCCGTGAGCAGCTGTCCACATGTGAGCAGGAGCTGCGGGCCTCACAGAGGCTCCTACGGGATGGGGTGCAAGAGCACGAGGACCTCCTGGGCCAGCTGGAGGTGCAGAGGCATGAGGCACGGCACTGCCGGACATCCGTCGAACTCTTGGGAAGGTGCCAGGGTGGCAGGGCCTGGGCAGGGAGTGGGGAGGGCGACACACCGGGCAGAGGCTGGGCAGGGTCAGCCTTTCCAGATCTGGCCTCACGCCCACCCTGTACCGACTGAGGGCTTCCGGCACATGGTCCAGACCCTGACCAGCGCATCTTCTCCCTCTCCTCCCTGTCTCTCGGCCTGGGCCTTCCACCCCTTCCCCAGGGAGAAGGTGGCCCTGGAGAGGAAGGTGGAGGAGCTGAGAGGGGCGGCAGAGGTCCGAGACGCAGAGAGGCAGAAGCTGGAGGCAGCCAACGCTGCGCTGCACAAGAGCCTGAGGCTTCGAGCAGAGCAGAGGTGGGCTGCAGTTGCTCCTGCAGGGCAGCGGGCTCCGGGCTCTGCCACCCATGCCAGGGGCTGTGCATCCCCTCTCTGGGCCTCCAAGTCCCGCGGAATAGGGCCTCTTCCCCTGTCTCATCTGTGTGGCCAGAGGCTCCCCCAGGGTGCTCCGGGCTCCTCTTAGTTTCCCTGGGCTTGGACATGCCGCCGATGGCTGCCCTGCCTTTGGGTCCTTTGAGTGACCCTCGTTCACGTTGAGATGATCTCCGCCTTCTGACCTCTGTCTTGGTCGCAGCCAGGGACGCCTGCAGCAGCTGGAGGAGAAAGTCTCCCGGCTCAGGAGGGAGCTAGCATCAGCCCGGGAGGCACTGAGCACAGCACAGCTGCAGAGGGACTTGGCAGAGAGGGAGCGGGAGGGCCTGCGTGGCACCCTGGCCCGGGTATGCTGTGCTGCCCTGTGCCCTCTGCCCCCTCTGCCCCCTGCCCCCCTCTGTATCCCTCATCCCTGTGCCCCTCTGTGCCCAGGCTTTGCTGCCCTTACCTCCTTGCTTGCCTGGAACCTCAGCCCCCCAGCTCCTACAGGCACAGCGCCCCCATCAGGGCACAGCTCTGGGCCCTGCTGGCCATGCTGCTTCCAGGGTGTCCCAGGCTACAGCCCCTTCTCCCGCAGGGCCTTTGGTGCCCAGGGGCAACTGTCTGCCAGAGCCCAGCGGGGGTCCTCCCACCACGTCCCCGCTTCCAGCTTGTGTCCGTGACAGAGCCTCACTCTTCTAGCACCTCAGTCTTGCCACAGGATCTCAAAGTCCCTCCCTGGAGTCCCCTCCAGGTGACCCCTGCCCCCTCCTCAGGCTGAGTCTAGCAACGCTGAACTGGAGCTGCTGGTGACGCGGCTGAAGTCGGAGGGCGTGGAGCAGCGGGACTCACTGGCCACAATGGCCGCCCTGATGGAAGGGCTGGCCCAGGACAAGGGCTCCCTGAACCACCTGGTGCTCCAGGTGAGCCGGGACAGGGGCAGCTTGCCCTGTGCCTCAGTTTCCCCAGGGTGGCTGGGTGCCTCCTTCTCAGGCCCCGCCTTTCACCAGTCCCTGGACCTCTTCCCAGCCTGGTGGCCACGCACCCTGAGAAATGGGTGTGGGTAGCGGAAAGGGGTAGTGCCTAAGGCACGTGGCAGGCAGCCCATAGGGCTGGGGATATGGCATGTGGGCTGGACAAAGACCCTTGCCACCAGCAGCTAGAGCAGGAGCGGGACCAGCTGCAGGAGCAGAGGACAGCGCTGGAGCAGGAGAAGGCAGGTGCTGGGCAGGAGCTGGCACAGGTCAAGCAGCAGCTGGAGCGCGTGTGGGCTGAGCGGAGAGGCCTGCAGGAGGCCTGCGGACACCTGGAGAAGCAGCAAGAGCAGCTGGAGGGGCAGGTGGCCCAGCTCAGGCGTGAGAGGGTCCAGCTCCAGGAGCAGGTGGGCCAGGTGAGGTCACTGTGGGCAGGTCACAGGTCCTGGTTCTGCCCCTGCTCACTACAGTGCTAGAGACCTGCCCGCCTCTGTCCTCTGTGAGGACAGGGTCGGCACACTCTGAGGAGAGCCCGGCGGCTCTGCTCCACCCTCCCCATCTTGTTTCATCCTAGTCCACATCTGACCTCCCGGCACTGCTCGTGTGTGTCCCTAGCCATGTCCCCATCTTCTGTAGAGAAGGAGCCGCTCAGCACAGAGGGTGTCTGACAGCGTGGTCTTTTCTGATCCTGCCTGCTTGTCTGTGTGGAAAACCTGTCCCTGCTGGACTTGGGCCCCCGGTGGCATTTGATGCCACTGCCTCATCACATGAGGAACGACACGGTCTCTCAATTTTCAGACCGTGTCCTTTCTCTGGTCATCTGTTTCATCTTTTATTTGTTTGTTTACAAGGATTTACTGAGGACTGAATCCAGGGAGTGCTGCGTTACATCCTCAATCCTTTTCATTTTTTATTTTGAAACAGAGTCTGGGTAAGTTGCTCAGGCTGGCCTTGACTTTGCCCTCTGGCCTCAGCCTCCCAGTGTGCTGAGATTCCAGGCACGTACCACAATACCCGCCCTCTCTCTTTTTCTGTTGTGTAACTGCCGTGCAATAAGTGAATTTTGACAGCTGTGTGCGCTTGTGGAGCCACTGCCATGATCAAAGTGGATGACATTTCTCCAGCCCAGGGGTTCCCTTGTGCCCCAAGTGGGATATCTCACCCAGATACTCCACACCCAGCGGGCTGGCAGGCTTTGTGCTGATGTGTAGCAGCCTAAACAGCAGTGTGTACTCATCAGTACCCAGAGGCAGTGATGCACCATGCTGGAAGAAGCCACAGCCACTCCTTCCAGCTGCTACTGGGCATTCAGGCTGTAAGGCTGCTGAGAACTTTGTATACAGCAGGTGTGCATGGATTTTCACTCTCCCTGAAAACGCAGGAGTGAAGTTGGTGTGTAGGAGTGTGCTAAGCTCTACAAGAAGCTGAGGCAGTTTCCCAGGGTGGAGGTGTTTTCTCTTGTACAGGAGTATTCCAGTGGCTCACTGACAGCATTTGATATTGTCTGTTTTTAGTTTTAGCTGATCTTTGTGTACGAAGTTATATATATGTCACCATGGTTCTGATTTGCATTTCCCTGGTAACTAAAACTGTTGAGCACATTTTCCTGTGCTTACTGAGTACTCATGTCTGTTCAAGTCTTTTGCCCATTTTTTAAACTGGGCTTTTGTGTTTAGGCTGTGGATAGATAAGAATTCTTCATGTATCACGAACACACTTAGATGCCAATTAGATGTACTGCCAGTACTTTCAAGTCTGTGTCTTGCCTTTGCATTTTCTCTTTTCTATTATTTTGTTTTGTGATCCTGGGAGTTGAACTCAGGGCCTCTCTTGTGCTAGACAAGCAAATACTCTATCACTGAGCTATATCCCAAGCCCTTCATTTTCTTCATAATATTTTCTGTTAGTTTTTGGAAACAAGGTCTCACTATGTAGCCCAGGTTGGCCTCAAACTCATGGCAGTCTTCCTACCTCAGCTTCCCAAGGGCTGAGATGAGAAGCATGTGCCACCACACTTGGCCTTTCTTCATAATTTTTTTAAACTGGGAAGCAAACTCAGGGAACCTTGCACTTGCCAGACAGATGCTGTGCTGCAGAGCCATATCCCCAGTCCTTTTCATAATATTTTTGATGGGCATAAAATATCAGCAGATCTCTATTTTCACGGTTAGCATTTTTAAGTCCTGTCTGAGAAATCGTTGCTTCCTGTGTTCTCACCTGGCTTTCAATTGAGGTCTTTGATCCATTCCAAGTTGTATCTGCGGTTCTCCAAGTCTGTTCTCCAGACCAGTTGCATGAGTGCCACTTGGGACCCAGTAACTAACTACCTCACACACGACCTACCAAGTCAGAGACTCTATGGGGAAGACCAGAAACCTGGATTCCAATGAGACTGCCAGGCCGTCCCAACACACACTGAAATCTGAGACCACAGAGTGTGAGGTGAGGTGGGAATGGAGTCCGTTGTTTTCACACTATTATCCACCACCATTTTTGATGAGAGACTCTCCTTGGACTACCATGACAATAAGCTCTTCTGTGAATAAACCCTGGAACTTTGGGTGTGCCTGATGACTGTGAGTCCCTTGGCATCTCAGTCTCATCCTGAGCTCTACATCAGCAGATGTTTGAGGAGAGAGGATGCCAAGCAGTCGCCTCTTTCTTCTGTTACTCTCCTCTCCAAGACCTTGGCATCCTCAGCCCCAGCTGCCTCTGCAACTCCTAAGGCCTCCTGTGTATTCCTAGGGTACATTCTGTCTAGATCTTTGTAATGTCCTCGGTGGAAGGAATGGTCTGCAAAACTAGTCCTCTGCTACCTGCCGCTGCCACCTCCACGCCGTGTGTCCTGCCCTCTGGATGGTCCAACACAGGTTGCCACTGAGATTGGCAATGGAAATGCCCAGCTCAATAGCATCTCTCCACAGTGTGAGGAGAAGATAACCCCTCTACTGTAAAGCACTCTACAACTCCACCTGTAGCCCACCTTCTCCCTTTGCTACATGCCACTCTGCACGTGCCCCCCTTCCCTCAGGAGCCCCCTCCCTCCTCCACTCACTCTCTCTTCTGCCACTGTCCCCTTTCTTCCACCCCTAGGTCACATGCAAGAAACAGGCCTTGGAAGAGCAGCTGGCACAGAGCCTGCAGGACCAGGAGGCCCAGATGAACACTCTGCAACAAGCCCTGCAGGAGAAGGATGCCTTGTCTGAGGAGCGGGGCCAGCTGCTGACCAAGCAGGAGGCCCTGGAGAGGCAGGGCCTGCTTGCAGCAGAGGAGACAGCTGACCTCAGGTGCCATGGGCCTGCCAACCAGGGCACATCCATCACAGAAAGCCCACAGTGTGGTGGACCGTTGGGACAGGCACTGTGATGTAGGGCGGGGCACGTGTGTGTGAGGGGTGAGGTATGAATGAAGGGAAACGGTGCCTTTGGGGTGGCAGAGCACCTCAAGGAGGTGCGTCCAGGGAGACCCCTGAGGTCACCTTCCTGAGTACACAGAGCTGCTTGAGCTAACTCTGGGCCCCGGAACCTACCCCCAGCAGCTGGGGTTGTCCGTTGGCTCTGGGTGCAGTACCTGCGATTGAGAGCCTGTGTGTTCACATGTAGCTTAGGTGTATTTGACGGCAAATGCCCAACAGAGCACAAGCAACCTTGACTGCGCACTGTGGGTGACGGGCAGGCAGTCGCTGCCGAGTCCGGGCTCACGAACTCAGGCCCTTTCATCCCCTCTCAGAAGTGGGCACTGTGTGAGCAGGTGTCCTGCACCCCAACGGACCCACGTGGGGTTCTGACCTGGCAAGGTGTTTTGGGGACTGCTTCTGGGGCAAGAGAACAGAGGAACTGCACAGTGCTCCTGACTGAGACAAAACTCACGCCCTGCTCAGCCCCTGTGAGCAGCTGGGTGTCAGCGTCAGCACACGTGTGCTTCCAGGGCACCGGCACCTGGAGCACCCCAGGCCCCCCAGCCGACATGGAGGTGGCCCCTGCGCTCGCTGTTTGCTGATGGGATGCGTGACTAGCAACAGCTGTGGCTTGACTCTCCCTGGGCACCCGTGAGGACAGGCAAACTTTGCCTTTTCAGCCGGCTGTGTTATCTTTGTAAATAACAGTCTTTTTCGCCCTTCCTTTAGGGTCGGCTGACTTTCTGTCATTGATTGGTAGGGGCTCTCTGTGTGTGATTGATGTTAGCCCTCTGTGTGTGTGTTTGTGCTTCCACATCTATTCCTGGCCTTTGAAGTTGGTGTATGGAATCTTTTCTGCAGGAAGAACACTCTCCCTCCCTCTCTACATGTGTCCAGATCTGTCGGCCTCTTCATTTTTGTCTCATGGCTTTGTGTCTTGCTCAAGAAGATCACAAAACACCCTTTCTGTTTTCGCTACCATGTTTACAGTTCTGTGTAGCTGACACTTGTTGGTTTTGTTTTATTTCTGAACTTGGTTTCTTATTCCCCAAATTTTATTTTTTGCACAGGGTTCAATTCATTCTTAGAGTGCCTGCATGAATGAGGTGTTCTGTGGTTGTGATTCCCAGGCCTGGCCTGGGCTCACGCTGCCCTGTGTTGTGGGGACATGTGGGTGACATACCCATCTGCTGCTCTCTGCAGGGCCCAGAGGGACTCTCTGGAGAGTGGCCTCTTTGAGGCCCAACAACTGGTGGCACAGATGCAGGCAGAGCAGAAGCAGCTGGAGGAGGAGGCTCACAGTGCCCGCCTGGCCCGGCAGGCCCTGCAAGGTGCTCCTCTGACAGCTGCCTGCCCCCGTGCCCCCCACTGAGTCTAACCTGGGCTTGGCCCCCAGAGGTGCTGCTCTCTCCTGGGCCCCAGCAGGTACAGATGTGGGCCTGGGGCTTGTGTACCCTGATCTGCACCATACTAGCCCAGCCTCAGAACTGGGCTGTGGCCATGGAGCCAGTGCCATAGTGTTTTGCACCCCACCTGGCTGCCTGGGGGTGCTGCCCCGGCTCGCTCTGCCCCTGCCATGTGCGGCCACAAGCAGAGGGAGTGGCTGCAGAGAGCCTCGGCAGGTGGCCCTGTGGCCAGCCCTGGCTTGCCCATCTTTTCCCAGTGGAGATGGAGCGGCTGAAAAGCGACTGGGAGGCACAGGAGACGAGGCTGCGGTGGGACATGGGGAGGCTGCAGCGGCAGATGGCTCAGCAGGAGCAGGAAGCGCAGCTGGCCCTGCAGAGCCAGGCAATGACCCACCAGGAGGACCTAGCTCGGCTCCAGAGGGAGAAGGTCGCCTGCCCCAGCCCACCTAGCTGCTTGGGGGGGATGTTTTCCCTGAGGGGAGGACCCTGGAGACTGGGGGTGGAGCCAGGGGGGCCTCACACCTTGGCATGGGGCCTCCCTGGAGCCCTTGCAGGTTTGAGCAGGTGGGGGAGGGGTGGGCTGTCCGTCCTGGGGTTGGGCCTGGAGTCACCGCCCAGGTGACAGGATGTGGGCAGGGGCTTGGGTGAGGGTCTGTCACATATCTGTGCTGCCCCGCTGGCCCCAGGACCCAGGAAGCCCTGTGTGACTGTGTTTACGTCCCATCCTGTCACTGGCATGGGGTAGAGGGTTAGGAGCGGTTGAAGACCTGGGAGATAAATGTAGGAAGGCAAACGCCAAGACGCTGAGAGGCCCTTGTGGAGAAGACAGGGGAGGCAGCTGGCCTTGGCCATCCAGCCCTGGTGTCCCATGGGCCTCCTTTTCACTTGGGACCACAGGTGCCTGCTGGCCTCACAGCCTGTCCTTTGTCTTGTTCAGGAGACCCTCAGTCTGAGCCTGGCAGAGGAGAAGGAGGCAGCTGCACACCAGCGGGAGCAGGAGAAGGAGCTGGTGGCAAAATGCACAGCTGAGAGGGAGGCTCTGGTGGAGGAAATGGAGAGCATGAAGCAGGAGCGGGATGAGAGCTTCCTCCAGCTAGAGCACAGGATGCAGCAGGTGATGGTGCCGTGGGAGGGAAAGGACCCTCACTCCTACCTCACTGTCCACTAAGACCCTGCACAAGGGCTGCATGGGGCCATACACCCTCTTCCCAGGCAGATGCACCCTTTCCAGATTACTACTGATGCAGCTTTAGTCTTTCATGGCAGTTCTGGCAGTTAGGGGTCCATCCACGTACTCATCCATACTTCCATCCATCTACATATCCACGCACCTACCCACCTACCCACCTATCCATCCATGCATACATGCATACATACGTACATCTACACATCCACCCACTACCTATCCATCCATCCAACCAACCATCCATCCATCCACCCCTCCATGCATACATACATACACCCACTACCCATCCGTCCATCCAACCAACCATCCATCCATCCACCCATCCATGCATATATACATACATACATACATCTATACATCCACCCTCTACCCATCCATCCATCCAACCATCCACCCATCCATCCATGCACACGTGCATATATATATATATATACACCTACACATCCAGCCACTACCTATTCATCCAACAAACCATCCATCCACCCATCCACCCACCTATCCAGGCACACATACATCCAACCATCTACAGCTATCTAGCTATCCAAATCCAACCATGTATACATCTAACTATCCATCCATCCATCTACACCCACCCACCTATCCATCTACACATCCACCTGCCTACCATCCATGCGTCCATTTATCCACAGGTCCACCCACCTATTCACCCGTCTAGCCACCTACCCATCCTCACATCGATCCACTCACCCATCCGTACACACACACACACACACCCCTACCCCTGCACATACTTACTCATCCATCCATCCATGTGTCTGACCATCCATCTGTGCATCTATCTGACCCTCTCCCCATCCACCTGATTGACCAGTTATACAGCTATTCATCAGAGCATCTACCCTGATCTCCAATTTAGGCACACTGTAAGCCCCCTTCTTGGCCATCCTTCCATCCCACAGGCTGAGACTCATACACAGCCTGGAAGGCCACCTTCAGTCCAGGTCTCTTCAGCATGCCACATCACCCTAAAGAGCTCATATTGAGTGAATGAAGCAGACAACTAACCACGGTCATGTGTGTCCTTACACAGTGTGACACAGGCTGTAATGCACCAGCACAAACTATAACACTGTGGGAAGAAGGTGCAGGAACTGCAGTAGCAGAGGGTACTGTCTGACTGTTTCTACTCTGGCCCTCCTGACACTCAGAGGCACATGCGTGTAGGAGCCCCATTTCACTGGTCAGAAAACTAAGGTCCACATATGCCACCTTTGCATGGGCTGCACCGGGCACTTGCCGGGCACTGAGGTTCAAGTTTGTACCTGCCAGTGCTCTAGACTTGAGGTGGAGGAAGGAGGTTAGGGCCTTTGAGGAACATCTGGGGATAGCAGGATATTTCCGAAGCCACTCACTCATCTGGCCCAGGTGATGCAGCCATGGCTTCTGCAGCAAGAATGATAAAAGCTGGGCCTGGAGGTCAAAAAAAGGCCAAGGTCTGAACCAGCACCCACCAAGCTGGAGACATCTGACCTGGAGACCCCTGGGGCACAGCACATCTGGAGAAGTGGGCACTGCTCTGGCCCTGCACCTGTCACACCTGTCCGAGACCACATGAGCCATGTCGTGTCCACACTCACAGCTCCCAGGGCCACACAGCGAGAAGGGCCGGAGAAGAGAGCAGGCTGCAGGGCAGGCAGAAGCTGTACTCCGGTGGCCTCGCTGGGGCTGCAGTGTAGCATCAGTGCATCACAGCCTGGTGACACAGAAGGCCAGGCCTTGGGGCAGCTGTCACAGGGCAGCAAGTGGACATTCCCAGGGCCTTGCTGCTCTTCCTGCTCTCCCATGTCAGGCAGCAGTGTGAAAAGCAGCGGAGGTGGGAAAGGGCCAGCAGGCGGAGCCCACAGCTTCCCCAGGGAAGCCGTGCTTCAGTCTCAAATCATCCTCAGAGGCACAGCAAGGACAGCAAGCTCTGTGGTGCCAGGGTCAGAGCCACGGCTGCAGAGACTGTCACCTGGACTCTCAGGCTGCGGGCCCCAGTGTGACTGAGTGACGCCCGAGGCTGGTGAACCCATACTTCTGTACTCAATGGAGCTTTGCCAAGAATGTTAACCAGTATTTGCTGCCGTGCCCACCAGTGACGGCCCCAGAGGGAGAGGCATAACGCTGGTCTGAAAACCTCACAGGCCAATGAACAGATTCGTGCAGAGCTCAGGGGGCCAGAAAACAGAGCAAGGGTGAGCTCGAGTGAGGCACAGACAGGCACAGTGGCATTCAAACCTCCCTTCCTAACGTGCAGAGCCCCACAGTCCCCTCTTCCCAGGAACCGCCATTGCTACTGGGTGCTGTGATGCCCCCCAGAGTTCGTACAGACATGCAGGGCAGAGCCCCCTACACGACCGCCCTACTAAGGTGCCCGCCAAAAGTCCATGGGTCTCTAGGCCACCAGTGACAAGGGTGAGGCTTCCTGTGACCCCTCAGCTCCCGAATCCACACAGGCAACCCATCAGGACCGGGCCGAAGGAGAGACAGGGGAGATGAGCTCTCTGGAATCAGCATGGTGCCTTCCCAGGACATCACTGTGTCCACAGCTAGGCAGCTGCTGAGCTCTGGGGCCCAGGGTCTTGACTGGCAGCCACTCGACAGCATGGTCAGCACACTGACTGGCCGCGCGGGGCTGTTGTCTCTGATCATGCAGCTGGTCTCTCCAGCACAGGCTCCACCCTAAGTCACCCTACTGACCCGAGCCCAATGTGCTTCCGGGCCACCACCAGTAACAGGCTCTCCTCACTTGGGAAGCTCCAGAGGTGAGAACCCCTGCCAGCACAGAGACCAGACAAGTCTTTCTCAGTGCCCTGGGAAAACTGCTTGCAGTAGAAATACACTGCCCATCTCACCTTAGGGAGGGGTTGCGGCCTGATACATCCATTACAGGTGGAAGACGCACACCTGACTCGGGGATCCCCCACCCCCGTGTAGCATGGCACACTGTCGTGCCTGCCGTTCCCTGGAGATGGTGCGGCCAGAGCCCAGCAACATGAGAGGACTGGGCCCCTCAGCCTGGGAAACAATCAAAGGCTGAACTGGAAGTGCGGTTTCACTCACACAGCACTCGTGATCACTGCATCCCAGAGGGCCTCGCCACTGTGTCAAGCTTTGAGATGCTTCCCCACCTACTCCCACCAAGATGGCTGCACAAATCTGCATTTGTGGGCCGCCTGTTGATGCACGCTTGTAACGCATGACTGTTACAAGCGGTGTCGAAAACAGCGAGGATGCGTTGGAGCCCGGCTAGGCCTGCAGAGGTGCCTGGGATGGGCACTGCCAAATCCGTCCACCTACGGTGCCCTTGCAAGGGAAGCGCTGTGCCTGGGAGCCGGGGGTGACACCCCCCTCTGGCGCACTGGTTTCCCCTTCTTCTCTCCCAGGGAGATGGGTGTTTTGAGGGCCTAAGGCCTCTGGTGTTTCCTTCCTGGTCACTGTGGAGGGTGCGCCTGGAGGAACTGGGGTCATGAACCTGGGCCTGGCAGAGAAAGGGCAGGACTCTGGGCAACGTGGCCCAGGGCAGCTGTGAAGGGACTGCCAAGCAGCGTCCAGGATGTAGGACGTGGGACAGGGGCGAGCACTGGGGTTCCAGCTCCCCAGTGCCTTCATAAGCCCTGTGTTGTCCAGGCCCTGTGTGTGAAGGACACAGAGAAGAGCCAGCTGCTGGAGGAGCTCTCCAGGGCCATGCAGGAGCTGCGGCGGGCACAGCAGGGGGCCCAGGGCCAGCAGGCCCATGCCGAGGTGAGCCCTGCCCTGCCAGGTGCATGCTCCCAGCCCTGTGCCTTCCCGAGCCTCAATTTCCCCCCAGGCCTCCAGGTCCCCTGGGAGGAGGCTCTGTCTCAAGGGCAGGAGAGTCCAGAGCAGGCTGAGTCCCTGCCCTGGGAGCTGCTGGGACCAGACCCGCAGGCCTGCTCACCCAGCCACGGGCCCCAGCCTGTTGCCTCTACACTTGTAGCAGAGCACAGCCAGGGCCCGGGGCCCTGGGACTCACAATCCAAGGAGGTAACACTGACCCCAAGAGAAACCCTTGGCCCGCTGGGAGGTAGCTCTTCTGTCTGTAGGGAAAGCCACTCAGTCACCCCAGCATGGAGAAGAGCCCCTTGTGGGTGCCCAGGGTGCTGCACAATGAGAAAGGCACAGGGCACAGGGGTTGGGGGTATCCAGCCCCTCCCAGTGACTTGCCAGGCAAGAGCCAGGCCCCCCGCCTGCCCCCAGGTCGCGCTGGCTCCCAGCCTCAGCCCCACATGGCCCTGCCTGGCGCCTGGACAGCCTCTCCCTGGGGACACTGGCCCTGGCCGGGGCTGGGCTCTGTCCCCATCCTACGCAGGCAGGGAACCAGGAAGGCCTCCCAGGGCCCTGGGAGGGACGCCTCCTTGGAGCCAGCATGGCTTCCCGGGCCCCCTGGACTGGGGCTGGGCTGCCCGCCCACAGGCTCCCCGGAGAGCTCGTTAGGGTTCTTTTGCCACCTCAGCTCAAAAAGTGGAAATTAGAACCCGCTGAGAGGAGAAGGTGGGAAACGGGCCAGGGAACACCAGGGGTGATGAGGAAGCTGGCCACCAGCAGCTCGGGGGCCTCCTGGCCTGCATCAGTGCCGTGGGCGGTTCTCTGCTGGTGGTGTGGACAGAGGCAGGACCTGCCGTCCACAGTGACACTTGTGAGTCACCGGGGGGAGGGACCAGGGAGCCCCTGCAGAGTCCCTGCTGGTGGCTGTGGTGCAGAGGGGGCAGTGCGGGGTCCCCCACGCCCCCAGCAGCACCGTGCAGCTCTAGAGGAGATCTGTGCCCCACCAGACCCACAGTGCTCCACCCAGACCCACAGGCACCGTGGCCCTCTGGGGCAAGAACCAGGTCCAGACTGGGGGCCAGGTGTGGGGTCCCCACAGGAGGCCAGGCCCCAGCTCAGCAGTGTCCACTGACAGCCCTTCCAGGGGCTGAGTGGGGCCTGTCAGGTAGAGAAGCCCAACCCTCCAGGGGCCCAAGGCCGGCGGCTCCTAGCAAGGAGAGTGGGGCGTGGGAGGCAACAGGAGCAGATGTGGGCCCCACTGAGTCCCCACAGGCCACACCTAGTGCTGGGAAGAGCACAACCAGGATACTGGAGCAGTCACAGCTGGAGGGGCCCAGATGTCCTCTGACCTTACCTGCCTATATGACAGCTCAGGACACGGGGGGCCCAGTGGCGACATCTACCTGGGGGCCCTGGCTTACCTCACCCCACACTGGTAGGCCAGGCCCCTAGCCGAGGAACAGAGGTACCCTGTCTAGGAGGGGTGCACCCCACTCCCACACTGACCACAGGGATGCTACAGGACCTAGGGGCTCCTCGATGTACCATGTACCCATCAAAGTTTCAGGGTCATCAAGGGCAGGGCCATTCATGTGCCAAAGGGCCGTCCCTGTCCCTTCCCCACTCAGCTGAGCAGCTGGCTAGGGGGTTCAGACAGGAAAAGGGTTGGCGCTTGATCCCACACCCCCACCACCACAGCTTGGGGACCCACAGGAGAAGCCCTGAGTGGGAGCCTAAGGGACAGGAGCCCCAACCCCTTCTCAGGGAGCCTCCACCTGCCTCTGCCCTGTGGCCATGGCCTGAGGGGTTGCCGCCACCCTAGGCCACCATCAGCACCCTGACCGAGGAACTGAGGACCCTGCAGGCCCAGTTTGAGGGCGCCATCTCCACCCATCAGCGAGAGGCCGCAGCTCTGAGAGAGGGCCTCCGGGAGATGGAGGCACAGCGGAGTGACCTACGGAGAGAGGTAGGTCGGGGCCAGGGTGCTGAGAAGAGGGTGCTGGAGAAGCAGCAGGGCCAGATGAGGAGGAAGTAGGGTGGGGTCATGTCCCTGTGTGAAGTTCACTCGCACAACCCTCCCAGAGCTGGCCCACTGGCACCTGGCTCCAGCCATGGGCAACGGAGGGAGACAGAGGTCTCCTTTTCAGGCCTAAAAGGTGAATTCAGGAGGAAGTGGGCTGAGTGGGCATGGCTTAGACAGGGCGGTGCTGTGGACTGCTTGTGTCGGTGCGGGTGCCGGGCACAGAGGACACTCGGGCTCTTGGTGGGACATTGGGGGCCGGTCACCAGCCAACCTCTCCCCATGCAGTCAAAGCAGCAGGAGTGGGGGACACTCACTCCTGGCACAGTGGCTGCAGCTGCTCTCCAGGCCTGTGAGAGAGGCTGCACCCTCAGGGAGGGGAGACCTGGTGTCACCCACAAACGTCACCGGTTCCCATTAGGGTGCCGAGTAGGGTAGGGCTTGGAGGCCTGGTCAGACAGGCTGGAGGAGAGGTGGAATGAGTGGGGTTTCCAGGCAGCTGTAGGCCCAGCAGAGCCCTGGTGCTGACACAGAGGGCTGGGAGCCACATGCGGTGCCGGGAAGAGTCCTGGGCAGGGCAGCAGGGCCCGTGAGGGCGGGCCGTGGGCGGAAGGTGTTTCTGAGGGGCTCGGCAGGATGGAGGGGCCTGTGGGAAGCCAGGGCAGGAGGGCCTGAGGATTCAGGCCGTAGGAAGGGTCACTGGGCCCCTCGGGGACAAGGTGGGCTGTGTGCCAAGGCCTGAAGCACAGGCTGAGTGGGGTGCAGCCCTCCAGGCGCAGCCCGCAGCCCGCAGCCTGCAGAGCGGGAGAGGAAGCGAGCGTGATTTAACATGACGGCTGTTTACCTTGGCCCCAGAGAGAAAGGGCTCCTTCCAGCAGATTGCAAAGGCAGGCTGGCCATGGCCACGTGCGGGAGAAAGTGAGATTTCAAAACTGCGGGCAGCAGGAGGGGACAGAGGCATGGGCCTCACGGCAGGGCCAGGGCTCCACAGACCAGGCCCCAGCTGGGCATGGGGCCCCCAGGAGGGGGTAGGGTGACGGGAGGCTGAAGAGGAGAGGGACCTGGGGGACAAAGCGCAGAGCGAGGCAGGCAGAGGAGCCTGCCCATGGGGGCCAGGCTGGTCCGGTGTTGCCATGAAAACCACACTTTTTTTTTTTATAGTCTTTCAACTGGAGGAAACTCCAGGCTCCTGCAGCCCCACCTGAGGTGCACATTGTGTATGCATGAGTGCATGCATACACAACCTGTCATGGACCCCATTCACACGTGTGCATACTCATGGAAACCACACCCACCTGCGTACAGGCACAGTCGTAGCTGCCCACTGGATGCCTCACGTGCACACACCATGAATTCACAGATGTAGACACAGGTAGAACCATGAAACACACGTGCACAAATATAAACAGCAGATAGGCATATGTACACACACATGCATGCCCATTGTGTGTGTGAGGGCACCCATGACACACATATGCACACTCTTATACTTGCACACATGACCCAAACAACAGCCTTTCCTGCGTACATGTGCACATGCGTGCACACAGGCTGGCCCAGCAACCTTCCCTGTCTCATTGCTGCCCTCCCCCCGTGGAGCACTGGAGCTGCCTCCCTGCGGGAGATTTCAAAAGAGGCTGTTTATACAATTTCTAGTAAAGAAATAATTATTATAATCACATTAAGCGATCTGGCTGTAAAATCCCTGTAAAGGGAAGCATGCTCTCCTGGGGCTGGGGTGGGGCGCCGTCCAGGGCTGGGGGCCTCCCCAGTTGTTTCGCTTGTTTTCATCTCCTCTGCTCTGGGAAATGGAAAGAGCTGCTTTCGTGATGGATCGGCCCTTGCGCTGGTCCTTGACCTTCTGGGTGGATTTCTGCTGAGCTTGCGGAAAATGCTCGGCACGGTTGTGGCTCCCACATGCAGGGGCGGGGGTGGGGCGGGGAAGGCCTGGGCCCTTCCCAAAACAGAACAACAATAACAGCGGCCGACTCAGAGCCAGGCCGGCCAGGGGCCTGGACAGCGTCCCACGCAAACAGCAGCAAAGAGGGGTCTGCTTTTGGTGAGCAGCAGCCTGACGTCGGTCCCCATTCCCTGCAGGCTCCGCCACCTCCCAGGGTACGTGACAGCCAGGCCAGGGCTGCCCCTGCCAGGCCTGAGCCCACCGGGCTGGCCTCCCTGGCCCTCCACGTGGGCCCTGTGGAGCCCAGCGCAGGAAGTCCCTCTGTCCCGGGACAGGGACCAAGAATGGGCACACCCAGGGGTGAGCCTGGCAGGGGTGAGGACTCACTGTGGCCTCCTGCCCTCCTTGGGGCAGCTCTCAGGGGACCAGAGCAGCCCAGGGCCAGGAGGGGTGGGGCAGTTCCCTGTGTGGACACAGGGCACACCTGCCCACTGTGGGCCCGCTGCCCTGGTCTGGAAGTTCCTTGCGCTGCACGCTGAGCCTCACAGAGGTCTCCAGGGATGTGGGCAGTGTCCTGCAGCTGGGTGGCCTGACACAAGTAGAGGATTCCAAGGCTCAGGTGCCTGACTGCATCCCATAGATGGGAACAAGAACTGGGCGTGGTTTCACATGCCTATAGTCCCAGCACTTGAGATGCTGAGGCAGGAGGATCACTGAGAGTTCAAGGCCAACCTGGACTACACCCTGAGTTCAAGTCAGCCTGAACTGCATAGTGAGACCCTGTCTCAAAAACAAACAAAAATAAATATGATGGGTACGGGAGAAACGAGGCCAGGGCACTCAGCCCACAGCGCGCAGGACCAGTGCCAAGCCTGCAGAGACAGGTGGTGGCCACAGGGGAGATGCGGGCACCAGGTCGGCTGGCAGAAGGGCCACCAGGTAGTGGCAGGTGGGGAAAATACTGATGTGTGGGCACAGCTGTGCCTCACAGGCCCTGCTGACCAGTGGCAGTGTTCCAGAGCCCCAGGGGGACACGAGCAAGACCAGGCTGGGGGACGAGGGGGTCTGCCGGCTCTGGGGCCAGCTGTCTGCTGCAGCTTCCTGAGCCGCTGCATGGCCTGCATAGCAGCAGGGACAGCTACAGCTCTGGGGCAGATGAGGCTGGTAACCAGCTCTCTCCTCCAAGGTGGGGCCTGAGGCTGGGTGGGACACAGGTTCCTTCTAGGCCAGAATCTCAGCCACATGCCACCCAGGGCTACCCACACACCCTGCCCAAGCCGTCCTAGCCCTTACTCACTATGCTCCCCACCCCAGGCCAAGAGGCTACAGGCCCAGCTGCTCGAGGCCCAGGAAGCGCTGGCCGGGCTGCGCCGGGAGCTTCAGGGCAGCGAGGAGAGCCGTGAGAGGCTGCGCAGGGAGGCCCTGGAAGCCCGCCAGGCGCTGAGTGCCGAGGCCTGTGAGAAGGACACACTGCAACACTCCAACACCGAGCTGCAGGCTGCCCTCCACAGAGCCAGGCAGGACAAAGCCAGGTATGGCAGCGTGGCAGCACGGAGGCCCTGGCCTGGCAAGCGAGACACCGGACAGGAGAGTTTGGGAAGCTGGCAGGGAAAGATGTGGGGAGAGGCAGCCATGCATGCCAGCCTGCCCAGGGGCCTGGGACTCGGAAGACAATCCCTGCCCTCAAGGAGCCCTTGTCAGTGGCCAGATGGCCACAAGGGGGAGGCTGGGACAGGCTGGGGAGCTGGGGCCTGGCCAGGGCTCCAGGAAGGCCTTACGGGCCACACAGCAGGCTGATGCTGGACACAGGGTCTCTGGGTGGATAAAAGGCAAGAGAGGTGAGGCAGGTGGGCTAAGAGGGCGGAAGAGGTAGGCAGTGGGCAGGAAGGGCCCTCCTGGCCACAGGGACTCAGATACAAGCGTCCCGGAGAGGACAGGGGGCCCTACAGAGGCCAGCCCGAGCCCGGTCCCACTGGGGAGGTTGGACCTGCTGGATGGCTGCGAGGGTCTCAGGCAAGTGTGGCCTGGGAGCCCTGCAGCTGTGGCACCTGTTCAGTTTAAAGCGGGCCAAGGAAGAACAGGAGCAGAAGTTGCGAGCCCTGGATGAGGTGCGGGTGGCAGCCCAGGAGGAGGCCAGCAAGCTCCAGGCCAGGCTTCAAGCACGGGCGCAGGCGCAGGGGGAGGCCTGCCGGGAGCACCACAGCCAGGTGAGGGCCAGGAACATCCCCAGACCGAGTGACACCCAGGAGCATGCTGGGGACAGGCGTCTACTGCTGCCCTTGGCGTGGCTGCGCTGGTGAGCTCAGGTGGTACAGTACCTCGGTCCAGGTCACCGCTCCACCCAGCCTTCCTGCCCCAGGGGGGCACCAGGGGTGTGGGCAGTGGCTGGGGTTCATCCCAGGGTCCCAGCCCAGCCCAGGCCCAACTCAGCCCAGACCACAAGGAGGCTGAGGTGGGCAGCTCCTGCCACAGCACCCCACACTCCAGGTGAGGACACTGGAGGCTGAGAATCACAGGCAGAGGAGAGAGGTGCACGCACTGCAGGCCCAGTGCTCACGGGAGGCCCAGCGGTGGCAGCAGAGCCAGCAAGAGATACTTCAGCTGCAGAGGCAGGTGGCAGAGACTGAGGCTGCCCACAAGAGTGCCCAGAAAGAGGTAGGGCACATGTCTGCTCCCCCAGGAGGAGATGAGGGGCTGTGAAGGGGCAGCCAGGCCCAGTGGGTCCTCAGCTCCGGCAGGAGGCAGGTGGTGATGCCATGCAGGGAGCCCAGGGCCCTCACTCTGGACCCCACAGGTACCTGTGGGTCTGTCCACATCCCGGTCCACAGTGACTACATGTGGCCAGGCTAGGACCCAGCTACAGCTATAAGCACTGCCGTAGAAAAAGGTAAACCCTGCCCTAAGTGGTGCCACAGCCCACGTGGGGAGAGGCACTCTCACCGACCCTGCATCAGCACACACATAGCCCTAATTCACACACAGCCACCACGCCCACAGCAGCGTCAGCACTGCCCAGCTCCTGAGGCCTGACCACCCCTGCCAAACCCAGGCTGGGAGGCAGATATGGAGACCCTTCCAGCTGTAAATTGTGGGGTAGGGGGTGAGTTTTCCAAGGGCAGAGGGGCCTGGGTGCCTGGCTGCACCTTGCCATCTGCCCAGGTGTCCAGAGCCTGTGTCCTTCTCACAGGTCTTGGGGCTACAGCGGAAGCTGGCAGAGGCCGAAGCCACAGGCGAGGCCCGGGCAGGGCAGCTGGAGAGGCTGCTCTCTGAGAGCCGAGAAGCCGAGCACACCCTGCAGGCCGAGCTCCGCGGTGTCACCAGGAGACTGCAGCGGGCCAGCAGCCAGGCCAACAGCCTCCAGGGCCGCCTGGACACCACCTGTGGCCGGATGCACAGCCTGGAGCAGGACCTGGCCAGGGCCAAGGCTGCTGAGCGGCATGCAGAGGCCCAGCTAGGCCGGCTGTGCTCCGTGCTGCGCCGAGGCCTGGGACTCCAGGGTGAGAGCCCAGCAGTCTCCCCGCAGCCACCTGGCTTCCCAGAGAGAGGTCAGCTGTGTCCCTGACCCGGGCCCCCAGCCCAGCGCAGGCCTCACCTGCACAGGGAGGACCAGCCCTCCCCAGAGCCTTCAGCAGTGTGGAGAAGAGGGAGGGCACCCTCGTGTCTATCACCACATCTCTGCCCACACTCCCTCCGCTGTCAGTTCCCTCAGGCTTCGACAGCACCCAGGTCTGCCCAGAGCAGCAGGGTGGCAGCCCCGCTGCCTGGCCCCATTCACCACTGCGGTGGCCATCACCTGCACCTGGAGACCATGACCCAGAAGTCATGGACGTGGCTGCTGTGCAGGAAGCCTTGGGGGACTTTGTGCAGAAGCTTCGGGATGCCCAGCGGGAGAGGGTGAGGCCAGCCCAGATCCTCCCCACCTGCACGGGCTCACGCCCTGGGCATGGGACATGGTGGTGAGAGCAGCCCCTCTCTCAGACCAGTGTCCCTCTGTCTGTCCACCCCCAAGCCTGCTGAGACCCTGGTGGGTCCTGTGGGGCAGTGTCCAGACTGCCCTTGGTCCATGGTGACAAACTCCAGCATCCCCACCACCCCTCCCACCAATGGCTTTGCACAGCAGTTGGCCACCCTGGCCCGTACAGCACACCATGCCAGGACCCTCTGCATCCCATGCCACACCAGCTCTTCCCAGAGGCTGGGACACCAGCCAGGTCACTCAGACCCTGCTCAGGGGCACAGTCCCAGCAGCTGCTCCCTCGATCTAGCCCCAGGACCTCCCCGAGCCACAAGGCCGACCCCTCCCAGTGGGCACGGCGACAGGGGCTCCAGGGAGAGGAGCAGTCCCGGGCTCCACCTGCTGCTCCCTGCCCGCTCCAGCCATCTGCTGGGGCCACCTCCCTGCCCCAGCCTGCAGGCTGTGCTCCTGCTGCCCCCAGGCTGGACTCTCTGGCCTCTCTACCCTCTGCACCTGCGCAGGCCCAGAGGTTGTCTCAGCCACCGCCACAGTGGGTGCCTCGCAGCCCCAGGGCTATCTTCCCCCTGCACCCACTGACCCCAGTGCTTCTGCCAGGACGCCTGCCGGGTCCAGGTGGCCAGCCTCAGCACCCGGCTGAGCGTGGCAGAGAACGAGTGTGCCCAGGCCCAGGGTCGTGTGCAGCAGCTGCAGAGGGCACTGGTGGAGGCGGAGGAAGGTGAACTCCCATGCTGTGAAGGCAACCAGTCCCATCTGCCTCCCACAAGTGTGGGATCTGAGGACAACTCTGGGGTGGGTGGGGACAACATCCTGACCAGTTCTGGGGCTGGCCGGCACCCCCACTCCTAGCACTGCTGGGCACAGAACCCCTGCCCAGTGCCAGCCTTCCCCCAAGCATGCCCGCTACATGGTTCTATTCTCCCAAGTGGCCACATATTTGCCCCCTTTTGGGACCCCACCTTTGCCACCTCCCCAGAGAGGCCCCTGCTTGCTGTCCCTCACTAAAAGGGTTGGCATCAGTCAGGACTCAGGAGAAGGAAGGGTGGTGGAGAGAGAGGGCAGGAGGCTGGAGGCAGACAGAGCTGGGCCCTGCCAACTGCCACCCTCAGACTGTGGAGACTCAGCAGCTACCTGTGACCCCTGCCTTGCCCTCCTCCCAGGCCGGCGCCAAGCAGAGGGGGCCCTGGACAGTGCCCAGGCATCACGGGTCCTGCAGAAGGAGGCGCTCCTGAGGCTGGAGATGGAGCACCTGGCCAGCACGCGGGTAGCAGCCCAGGACAGACGGCGGCGGCAGGTAGGGACCTGGAGGGGCACAGGGAAGGGGAACAGATGCGGTAAGGCTCGGTGGGCAAGGGGCTTCCCTGCTGGCACAGTTGCAGGCTGTGCTGGGGCAGGTGGCTGGAGGCTGTCAGAGCACGAGGCCATCTCTGCTGGCAGGCTGTGAGGCGGTCCCAGCCCCAGCTTCACAGGTTGGGGAAACTGAGGTCTCAGGCTTAGGAGCACAGCCAGGTGGAAGCAGATAGGAAGAGAGCAAGAGAAAGAGAGAAAGGGAGAGAGAAAGAAAGAGAAAGGAAGAAACAGGAGAGGGGGAGAAGGCAAAAAGGAAGCAGGGAGAGGGCAAGGGGCAAGGAAGGAGGAAGGAGGGAGGAGGGAGGGAGGGAAAAAAAGAAAAGAGGGGCTTTGTGGGTTCTTTTCTTGTCAGTGCCCTTTGCAAAGTGGACCCCGAGTCCCGCTTGTCTGAAATTCAGAAATGTCACCTAGGTGCTGATGTGGCACTGCCCCTCTGCGGCTCTCTCTCCACCCCAGAACCACTTTCTCCTGCCCTCTCCAAATCCTTTGCCCTGGATTTCCAGCCTTCCAGTCTGACCCCCAGCCCTGTGCCCCAGGCCTGTCTTGTATTTCTCCTTCCCCCCACATCTCCCAGGTTTGAGAGGACTCAGGCTTTATCCCGCTCAGCTACTCTGATTGTCAGCTGCGTCTAATCTGCTTTCTCCACATCCCTGTTGTACCCAAGTGTTTCTCTCAGACTGTCCGCAGACCCCAAGAACACCAGTTCCTGTCTCTACGGCAGGAATTGAACTTGCCAGACAGGTGCTGTAACCACTGAGCCGTACGCCCAGCCCCAGTGCCCGTTTCTGTTCACAACTCTTCATTAGAGATTCTCAGATTGCCTCCTCTGACGGCCACATCTTCTGAGGTCTCTGAAGCAGGGCGTTCTGACCCCGGCCACAGGTGGGGTGGGAGGCACCGTCTGGACTTGGCTGGTCCTGCCCCCTATTCCAAGGAAAGACGAGCAAGGGTCCTTGTCCTGCACCAGTGTCACAGGCTTTTGGGTCTCAGCGCCAGAGACCTGCCAGGCCCTGAGGGGTAGAGCTGCCCACCCACCCGAGCCCCCATCCCAAGGGTACCGTGGTCCCAAGGTGCCCCCCGCAGGTGCAAGGGCTGCTCTACAGTATGTGCTGCCAGAGCGAGCCTGGGGCTGCTCTAGACAGCCTCTGCTCCATGTAGAATTGACTTGTGTGCTTAGTGGTGTGTCTGAACTCCCCCTTATTCTGTCACTTCTTTCTTGGAGTTCTGGCAAATGCATTTGTCCTCTTTGAGGCCACTTGGTTCCATCTGCTCCGAGGGACCCCCAGAGCCCCTGGTCTGCAGCTCTGAGGAGGGTCTCCCAGTCTTTGCAACTTGCTGGCCCAGTCGTGGCAGGTTCAGACGCGGCCACACCGCTGTCTTCCCAAGACCCCGCCTCTGACGACAAGCCCAGGCCAGAGCGCAAGGCCGTGTTTCCGGGCAGCTGAGGCTGGGGATGTGGCCACACTGCAGCCAGGCCAGCCGCTGGCAGGCAGGTCTGGTCCCTGGGCACCCCATGCCCCCTGGACCCCTTGACTGCCTCTGACGGCCCAGGCTGATCCAGAGCAAGCTCTGGCCTCCACACAACTTCTTTCACCCTCGCGGTCTGCTTGCTTCCCCCATTTCACATCAGCCAGTGTGCTTGTCAAGAGAAAGTTAATTAAAAACATATTTTTCTAATTAAATGGTAGGCTGTGCTGTGCGAACAGTGCAACTCTTGTTTAGAGCTAGTCCCTCCCTGTTGCCAGGGCGACCTGGGACCCAGCAGAGCAACAGTGCACAGCCAGCGCACAGGGACACGCGCCCAGTGCAGCCGGGCGCACGCAGCTGGCAGGCCTCCGCGCAGGGCAGGCCTGGCGCCCACCCAGCATTGCCCCACACGCCCTCCGCACCCCCAAGAGGCCGCCCATGTGACCAGGGACTGGCGCCCGGTCATGGCCCCAGCAGCTCAGAGGGGCCTTGTGTCCTGGACTCCTGCCAGCCCCTCTGCGCCCTGCACCCCACGTGCCACGTCCAGCCACGTGGGCTCTGCCATTCCCGCTGCCAGCCTGTCACTCATCCAGCTTCCAGAGGCAAAGTGTGAGGGGGTGTCGCCCAGTTCGGGGACACTCGGACCCTGGGCCTGCACTGGGGACTCAGCTGGCGTCAGCTCCTCCTGTTTTGCTGAGAATATTTACTTCCCATAATTCCTTCATGTGCCATAGTTTTCAGATTTCCCAGTGTCAGAATATTTCATGTTGTGAAATGAATCTGTAAGCCTGCTTCTTTGCCTGTCACCTGGGTAGTCCCAGGGCTGCAGGGGACAGTCCCAGGACTCTCAAGATGAACTGAACTGTGCTGTAAACTCTGCAGAGCTCCTGCCATCCTAAGTAACACACTTTGGCTCTCTCTGGGAGCCCTTCTCTGCCGTCTCCTCCCATCTCTTCCGGGTCAGGTCTCGTCTTTGGAGAGCAAGTTGCCATCTTGCATGTCCAAGTGCACTGGCATGGACGTCCACACCCTGCTTCGCCCTGTCGACAGGAGCGCGGTCTACCAGCGCCCTTGTTCGTGCCCGTCCCCCGTCGCTGTCCCCGCGTCTGCCCTCAACCTGGCAGCGTTTTGTGCCCCTTCCTCTGGCGCGCTCACAGGCTCATGTCCCTTCTCTTGTTTTTGTCTAGTTTATTCATTTCAGCTTCTATTTCTGTAACTTTCTCTTTTTGCTCTTCTCTAATTTCTTAACAGAACAAGAGAATTTTTCATGTTGAGCCTTCTCTTTCGGTCCTAAAAACGATTAATGTCACCGAGTTTCCCCTTGCTGTGGTTTGATGTGCACCATAGGTTTCGATGTGAAGTCTTCCCCTTCTCACCAAGTTCTAGGAGGTTCTGTTCTCACCTCTTCCCTAATCCAAGGGTAACCAAGGAGAACGTCACGCTGCCTCTCTGTGCTCCTGCCCGGCACTGGGGACCGTTTCCTTCTGGGTGGCCTTACTGGGTGGCTCTCGTCTCTGCACTGGGCCTCTCAGCTGGCTGCCTGCTGCCCACTGTTTTGGTTTGGTTTTGTCTATTTGTCTGTGGTGTATTTAGAGGGAAGCTGGTCAGGCTGATTGCAGTGCTCGGGGAAGAATAGATGTTAGCGATCTGGCAGGAAAATTTAAGAAAGAGCAGTACAGCTGTATACAGCATGGCATAAACAGAGGAGTGGACAGCAGGGTCCAGACGTGGCCTGTCTGTCGTAGCCTGGTTCCAAACTCTGGGCTCCCACTGGGTAAACTGAGGCTTTACCCCTGCTTCTGAGGGCTTCCTGGAGCCAGTTCTGCCCTGTGCAATCCGGGCAGGACCAGGCCTCCGCCCACGCGGAGCCCAGGATCTGTGTGCCAGTGCGTGATGGGACTGGCCCGTGTCACTAGTGGACACAAAGGCATCACACTGAGGACCTGGACTCCCAGGGCTTAGGGATCGGGTTCAGGGCACGGGTGGCCTGCTCTGTCCTTCCTCATGCAGCCAAGGGACGGTGAAGGAGACCTCTGTCCACCACTGTGCTTGAGGCCGGCTCAGTCTTCGCCCAGCGCAGGGTCCATGGGAGATTTTTCCTCATTTCCACGGCCCCCCGGGACGTCTTGGGTCTCCAGCTCTCCCGCTGTCCTCCCATCTTTCTCAGTCCCCAGAGGAGCCCTCAGAGACTGCACCACACCCTTGGTGCACACAGGGAAACCAAGCCCAGAATGCTCTGCCCCAAGCCCTGCTCCTCCCAGCAGGAGCCCGGCGGCCCGAGGCACGGGCAGTCAGTTTGGGGCAGGGCTGGGGCTCCATCCTTCCTGTGGCCGCTGAAGCCCCCAGACCAGAGCAGACCGAGGCTCGGCCTTGCCCACCTGCCTCCTGCTCAGGGTGAGGACTCAGAGCCAAAGGACACGCGCAGCGCCACCCACTCAGTGAAGCCAGTGGTGCCCCGCAGGGCGAGCCACTCAGTTATGATGGTTAATTTGAATTCCATAAATTCTAGTCATTACAGAGAAGCGTGATGCTTCATGTAATTGGTTTGGGGCCTCTTAAAACTACCATGAAATATTTAAGCCATATTGGAAGGAAACATCTGCTTTTCTACTGGAAAATGTATAGCAATAGAAAACTGTAATTTTCAAACTTGCATGGAAGAGTGAAACATGGAAATCTTAGGGCCCCCTTTCTCTTGTTGCAAGTAATAATGCGTCAGGTATCTCACAGTGTCTTGGGAGCCCACCCAGGCCCCCATCATCCCTGCCTGTGCTGGAGGCCCTGTCACTCCAGCCCCCCTCAGTGGTGACAGTTGGGCAGGTAGCCAGGGAGGTGCTGAGAGGCCAGTGCTGCCGGGTCAGGCTTCTGCTGCCCACGAGGGCCCCAGGTCTCTGCATGCCACCTCCCCACCCCACCCCACCCCAGCCCACTGACCCCCCCAGCTCCTGTCCCCAACACCCGCGGCCCACTGCAGAGGTCACTGCTGTCTTCCTGGTCCTCTGGGGCTGTGTCCTCTGTGCCTTGGGAATTGCATACCCTCCGGCCTCTGGGCCGCAGCTCCTCTTGCTCCTCTACCCTCCCTGTGGGTCCCTCTGAGCAGCCGTTCCTCCCAGCCAGCAGTGCCTGAGCCTCAGGACTGAGCTCATACCCACACCTGCTCCTGCCTGCCCGCCTCTGTAGATGGCCCCAGACCTGTCCAGTTCCTGAGCCATGGGGGCCAGCGGTGTCCAAGCTGCCTATAGGGTAGGGAGGGACACCAGAGGCAGGGAGAACGCAGGTAGAGAGGAGAGGGGTCCAGCCTGAGCCTTACCGACTCTGTGAGCCTGGAGAGCCATGTGGGGTCTTCACTCCAAGGGCCGCAGGGCCTGAGGGCTAAGAGTAGGGATGGTATGTGTCATGCATCTCCTAAGATGGCTCTGGAGACCCTGTGGCCCACCCACTGCCCACACCAGGCCTCCCAATAGGCCTCCTGTCGCTGTGGCCCAGCTCTGGCTTCCTGGAGGTCCACACACCTCATGTCACATTAAGGGCACAAGCCAGCTTTCGGTTTATTTTTACTGAGTTGCATTCCCAGCCTTTTCTATTTTTAATTTTGAGGCAGGATCTCGTTAAGCTGCCCAGGCTAGGCTCAAACTTCCGATCCTCCTGCCTCAGCCTCCCAGAGTACAGGAATGACAGATGTGTGCCACCATGCCCAGCTGTGCAGATCAGCTCCTCAGCCCAGCAGCCCTGTCCTTGACTGCATTCTTGCTGTTCACCTCCCAGCAGCCCCCCCATCTGGACACAGAGGCCCTGCGTCCCCCAACACCTCCAGGCAGCCTGTTTCTCCTCCTGTAGGAACAACTGGGCACATTGCCCCAGGCCTCGAGGAGATGGGGGAGCCAGGGCCTAGAGGTGAGGGCGGGCAGGCAGGTAGGGGAGCCACACCCCGCCCAAGCGGCAGTGAGGCCGCACACAGGGCCAGAGGCCTGGGCAGATGCCGGAGACCTGTGAGGACCTGACCCGCCCAGCGTCCAGGTCCCAGCTGGCAGCGGGGAAACTGAGGCTAGAAGGCATCCGAGGAATCCCAGGGCTGGTTTCTTGCCCCACCATGAGCACCCCTATGATGGGGGTCCCCTGGGGATGCGCAGTGTAAGGGAGAGGAGTGCTTCCTACAGGCCTTGCCCCTGCAGACACCACGGCCTCACCCCACCCCTCTGGGGAGCCACAGGGTCCCGGCCAGCCCCCCAGTCTGTGTCCTTCTGGGATGTGACCCCCTCAAGGTGCTTGGGCCACTGGGCTCTGAGACCTCACAGACTCCCCGCCCCCATGGGACATGGCCCCAGCCTAGGACAGGGACTCCAGAGGGCAGCACACAGCCAGGACACAGGGGGCAGGCAGGAAGGATGTGAGGCTGGACCTGGCAGCCAGCACCTGACTGCTGGGGCCCCATCTCTCTGCAAAGCAGGGGAGGTGGTGCCATGCAGGGGGTGTGAAGGGAGCAGGGGCCAAGAGCAGGGGACCCTCCCATGGCCTCCCTGCTATCACGACCCTTCCCGCCCAGGGATGGAGGCCAGCTGACCAGGACAGTCACAAAAGCTACTAGCTAGCTGTCCCCTAGGGGCCATCTGCCTTCCCACAAAAGAGGAGCAGCCAGGGGGCCCCAAGACCAGATCCTGCCGCTATCCTGAGGGGCAGGCCCACCCCAGCCGTGGATCTGGGGAGCAGTGCCCTGCGGGGGCGGGTGGGCTGTGTGTCCACCCCAGCTTCAGTGTCACTGCCCGGGCAGCAGAGCCAGCTGTGGGCACTGCGCCCAACCCAGGTCCCTGGGGCCCGTGGGGGAGGGCGGGAACAGCTAATGAGTTCCAGGAGGTCAGCTGTGCGGGGCCCACAGCCCATAAACCCTTTATTGGTGTCTCAGGAGGGGAAACCCGGATGTGGCCATTTATTTATTTTGGATTTCACTTTTCTCTTCTCTTTATAACATGCGCTTCCAGGAGTATAACTGGATTTTTAAAGAAACAGGCTCCTTTTCCAGTGGAAGGGAACTCTTTGTTTTTCTGGTCTGGGAGGAAGCAGTCCTGAATTTTGTAAAACTTGGGCCACTGACCGCATAACTTTGCTGGTGCAAACCCACCACATCCCATGGCCCAGGCACCCAGGTGGGGGCACAGGTCCCCCAGCCCTGAGGAAGACTTCCAGCCCGCTGCCCTTGCCTAGTGAATATTCCTGGACGCAGCAGGCGGAAGGCAGGGCGGACACCGCACAGCAGTGAACGGGACTTGGTGCCAGGCCTGGCTTGGTGCCTGCCCTGGCCTGGCGAACTTGTCAGACGGCACAGCAGGATGCCTGGGCTTCCTGGGCTGCAGGCAGGGCTCCTCTTAGGGTCATCTGTGCACAAGCGAGAGAGTCGGGGATCCGATGGAGTCCTCCCCAGGGTGTGGCACAGGGCCACGGAGCCCATGGCTTGCACTTGGGAAGCAGCTGCCTCCCGGTCTTGAGCCCACAGCTCATGGCTGAGAAGGACACTGCCAGAACGGCTTCAGCCCCGAAGAGGAGGGCACTGCCACAGGCTCCCTGGGGTTGGGTTGGCACATGCACCAGGGCTGGGCGTGTGTGCACTCAATGGGGGGCACTGCTGCAGGTGAGGGTGCTGCAGAAGGCTGAGGCTTCCTGCACCACCCACCCAGAGAGAGAAGGTCCGTTCAAGGGTCCCCATGGGCCCCCCCTACTCTCCTGAGCTCCATTCTGGCTGCAGACTGGGAACCCTAGCAGGCAGCGCTCTGGCCAGCCCTGCCAACTCCAGGGGCTCAAAGCCCTTCCCAGGGGAACAGAGCTCCCCAAGAGCAGGCTGGCCGGACCGCAGGCCCCTGCCAGAAGCCCACTACAGCCCACCACAAGTCCTGCCCTGCTCTGCAGATGGAGCAGGAGGTGCTGGCAGCTGAGAAGGGGCGGTTGGGCCAGTCCCTGAGCAGCCTACACCAGGAGTGGGACAGAGCCCTGCAGCAGAACCAGGGACTGCAGGTGAGCCGGCTGGGACACAGCACTCTTCCAGCCTTGGAGAGGAGCTGGGTGGGCTCGGGCAGGTGGGAGTCCCATGTAACACGTGGGAAGGCTGCAGGAATGGAACCAGAGCATCAATGGGGTCCACCTGGTCACATCTGAGTTGTCTCCAGGGGGCCCTGCCCTCCTGAGACACTGCAGTCTCCACGGCTGTGTGAGGCCTGTAGGGGCCCCCATGAGCCAGGCCTGGCTTTGCAGAAGGGGGACAGGCAAGCCTGTGGGGCACACAGACCGTGAGGGTTCCCAGGCCAGGGCTGAAACCACGTGTGGTACTCAGAGGCTTTAGTCTCCCCTTCTATCACCAGACCCATCCAGATAAGAACCTGGGGAAGGGGACAGGCAAGTGTTTCCTTCAGGACTCGGAGGACCCCAGCAGGGCCAGTGGGAAAGTGGGTGCTCCTGAAGAGCCTCCCGAGGTCATGCCTTGGGTCTGGCTGCCAGCTCTGATGCAGGCTGTGTGCCCAGTGCATGCTGAGCCTATCTCTGCTGCCTGTAGCAGGCCAGGCCAGGGACCCAGCAAGGTCCAGCAGGGCCAGGAAGGGAACAGCACCTGAGGACAGAGAGGACCCCTGGGAGGCCCCCCACCGCAGAAGGCAGCGAGGGGCCCATGTGCTTGCTGCAGGCCCAGCTGCAGGCCATGCGCGCCCTGGCATCCCAAGAGCAGACCAACCAGCGTCAGATGAAGGGGCTGGAGAAGCAGGTACAGCAGGGCCCAGGCAGGGGAGGGAGGCCAGGCACCCCGCGAGGTGGCCACACCCTGAGCACCTGTCCTGCTGCCCCTCAGGGCTGTGTCTGCCCCACACTGGGAGGGAGGTGGGCATGGCTTTCAGGGCAGCTCACCCCGACTCCAGCACCGACCGTGTCTGTAGAGTGGGGTGGCCGGAAGATGGTTGTGAGAGGGGCAGGGGCTGGGCGTGCACAGCAGAGCCTCAGGGCCGCTCCTGTCCTCAGTCACACAGATGGGCACGGGGAGCGGGTGAGGGTGCACTCAGGGCCTTGGGCCCATGTGGGAGTGCACGGCACCATACACACACACATGCACAGCATGCCTGCCGGGCCACACCATGGGGCTCGGAGCTGCAGAACCTCAGAGCCCTGTGCTCAGAACCCTGCTTTACAGACAAGGAAATTGGAGCCACAGATGCCCAGGGTCAGCCCCGTCACCGTCCCTGAACCATCAGCCATGTTTACTTCCCTGTCACTGTGTTTCACAGTCTGCATAGAGGGGCTGTCCACCGTGGGTGGGCAGTGGCCTCTGCCCAGGATGTCCTGGGTGGCATTAGTGATGAGGACCCTGCACCCCCTCTGGCTGCTACTCCGCCATGCATGCCTCCTTCCGGCCCTCCAGGCACACAGCCCTCCACAGCCTATGCTGGGGCCCTGGCCACATGCCCACCACCCCACCTAACCAGGCTCCTGGCCATCCCCAGGTGGCCAGCCTGAAGGAGCAGCTGGACCGGGAAGTGCAGCCGCAACACCGACGTGCCCACCCCCGCCAGGCCTCCCGGGCCAGGCAGTGAACCCCGCCGGCTTGGCTGCCTGCAGCCCTGAGCAGGTGGGCCCGGGCTCCTCAGGCAGGGGTCCCAGGCTGGGAAAGCTCCATGGTGCTGCAGAGGGGTCAAAGGCAGGAGAGGGCACAGGCACCAACCACCCGTCTCCTGGGGCATTCTGGTCCTACAGACTGCAAAGGCCCTGCATGGGGTCTGTGTCACTGGCTGGGCCCGCCAGGCTGCTGGGCACTCCTCTCCAACACCTGCCATGGGGAGTGGGCTGTGGGCACCCCCTCAGCCCGCCCCTGGCCTGGTGCTGCATTCTGCTTCAAACGTGCCATTCTCGCCAGGCCCCGGTGGCCGGGCCCTGCCAGGCCAGCTTCCTTGGCCACAGGCTGCATTCCCAGCCTCGCTCTGTAAACACCGGGAAGCACGTGGGAAACATTTCCACCAACCGGAGCCAAAAACACAATGTCCCACAAGGCCAGCCGCCACAGTCCCCGTCCAGAGGCTGCGGAACCTCCCGCGTCCAGGAACTGCCGCCTGTCACCGTGGCAGGTGGCTGGAAATGACTCAGATTCGAGTCCTCGTGACTCACCGGCCACAAGCGGCACTGGAGTGTGAAATCTGAAGTTGTTCCAGAGGCTCCCTCGCTCCTGGCCTGGAGACACTGGGAAATTCCCACGGGAATCTGGCCCCTGCTACCACAGCGGCTATGGCTTCCACTGGGGCCTGCCGTGGCCACGCGCTGGCATTTCCCCAGGTTCCCTGCAGAGCTGTGCAGCGGGATGCGTCTTCCTCTGTATCCGCTCTCGTGTTGAAAGCAACACCTTCCCAGGACCAGGCTTCAGGAAAAGCCCCTGTGTGAGCCCAGGCCTGGGCTGCCCTGGCTGGGAGCACTGCCCCGTGCTGGGCACCGTGAGCTGCGCCTGTGCTGTCAGAGGTTGTCCTGCCTGGTCAGCCCTCAGACCTACTTGAATGGAGTTGCCCTATAATAAATCCCCAAATCCAGTGCTGGGCTGGTGGGCAGAGAGGTCTCACGGTCTGTCAGTGCTGCCCATCGATCAATGGCAGGGTAAGAAGGATCTGAAGTGCAGCACAGCTCCAAGGAGAAGCTCCAAGCACAGGAGTCTGTGGTGGCAGGGCATTCTGAGGCTGTGTGCCCACCCTCAGTGGCCAAGTACGGACAGCAGTAAGCCATCAGAAGAGAGCTTGGCTGCCCCAGGGCTTGCAGGGCGGGGCATTGGGCAGATGTTTTCCCCCACCTGGAGGACAGCAGTACCGTCTGGGAAGTGAGGCCAGGGAGCTAAGTGAGCAAGGAGGGAGAAGGGGCTGGATGCCTGCCATGTGCCCCACCGTGACCTGCTCCCAGGCCTCTGTAGAAATCATGGCACAGCTCTGAGGGGCCTTGCAGTGAGACTCCTCTCACCAGCAAGGGCAGCCTCTCTGGTGTCTGGGGCTAGGATGGGCCCAGGCCTGGTGCCTGCAGAAGACAGGCCCCCAGTGCCTCATGGACACTGGATTTCCACACAGGTTTGTGCCTAGGCCCCATGTATGGCCCTCAGGTGGCCTTGGGGGCCTCCGTGGCTCCGAGCCAAGTCTTCAGAGGCTGCCCGCCCCCCAGATGTAGTCCATGCTCAATGTCTGCATCCTTACACAGCTCAGGACTGGCACTGCAAAATAAATAAATAAATAAATCACAGCGAACCAGAACATAAAGAAGCTCATAACCACCCCGACCCTGAGGTGGACCCCAAGCAGCCTGTCCCCTTCCCTTTGTCTGCTGTGCACGTACGTGGGACGGTTGAGGTCACAGCTTGTGCACTACTTGGAACACTACTTTTTAAAAACAATTTTTACTTGATGGAATGTCATTAGGGTTTCCTCCGTGTCATTAAATTTGCCTCTGAAGGATGACTCTATCGGCAGAGGGAGCTCCGGGGACTGGAAGGGAAGAAAGAACAAATGGAACTGTCCCTGCAGGGGGACCTAGGAACCTGTGGCACCTGGGGCCGCGTTGGCCCCTGTGCATCTCCTCCAGGGGCAGAGGGGACTAACCCAATGCTGGGGGGGGGATGGAGGAGGTGCCTGAGGGACAGGGCAGGGCAGCAGCGCCAGTGCTTGCGCCACCTACAGCATCTGCTGCCTCCCCCTTCCCTCTCGGGGAGTAACCGCCAGCCCTGCCCACTCCTCCCCACAATGAACACTGAAGTCCTGCATGGGCGACGGGCGTGGTGCCGCATAGCCCCTCTCCCCCTGTCCTGGCTTCTCTCATCCTGGCTGGGGAAGTTCACTGGGGCCCAGGCTTCTGGCTGCACCCATGTGGTGGGGACGGCTGGGACCACGTGATGGCACCAGCTGGGTGGGGTTCTGTGTTCCACTGCCACCCTGTCCCCTCCCCTCCAGCCAGGTGCCCGAGTCCTGTGTGCCCTGGGGTGGATCTGAAGCTCCCTATCTACACTGCACGTAAATCAGGCCCTCAATTAAAGCGTCACAGCCCATGGGGAAGGCTCGAGTTGCCTGCCACAGTACATGAGCCCACTTGATAAAGCAATTTTGGTTTTGATAAATGTGGATTTTCTGCGGCAGAGACAAAGGCGCCCTTGAGTCCAGAGGGGGACCTAAAACAGCACATTGCTGTAAAGTATTTCCTGATCATATTTTTAGCACCTGAAAAAAACATTTTTTTTTCTCCTTTTTGCCTGTGGAGTTGTGTTGTTTTTTTTTTTTTTTTCTTTTAATGAAATGCGATGCCCAGCAGCGATGGGGCCTGTGTTAACCCCGAGTCTCCCGGGCCAGGCTGGAAATCTGCACAGGGGAAGGCTGGGGGTAGTCAACAGGGCCAGGTGCAGGTCATTGGGTCACTCTGGGGTCCAAGGTTGGAGAGTGGCTCTGAGCAGGGCTGCCATGCCGCTGTTTGGAGGTAGCACTGGGCAGCTGGCCAGACGTCTGTCAGGCCCACCACTCAGCTGTGCACCCGCTGAGCACCACTGTGTGCCTGGAGATGTGCTGTGCCCGGGGCAGCACTGGCCCCCACGGTCCCCAGGTGGACCCCAGCCCAGCCAAGTGGGCTGTTACCAGGGCCCACTGAGGAGTATGCCCAGGTGTGACAGGCAGGGCAGGAAGGTGGGGAAGGGCGTGGGGCAGGAAGCATAGCCTCACGTGTCATGCTGTGGCCTCTTTCACGCCAAGCCCTGCCTCCCATGCCAGAAAGCCACCCACTAAGGAGACAGGGCTCGCCAGCAGCCCCCAGCTGACTACAGAGAGGGTGGAGGCTCCCAGGCTGCTCCAAAGTACCATGGCCTCCTGGGCCCCAGCTCACAGAAAGGCCCCTGGCAACTCTGTCCTTGAGCCTCCAAAATAGGGACCACATCCAGAACCCTGCCCCTCTTTGCAGTGTATGGGGTGTCACACCACAGTGGTGCTGTTTTCCTGGGGTTTCAAAGCCAGGAGCTGGCCTGGGACTGATTCTCCCACAGGTACTGTGAGCCAGGGCCTGCCCTTCTCCAGCCTCAGCTGACCCCACTACAAAACAGAGTGGGTGCACCAAGCAGGGGGACAGGGGCAGACAAGCCAGCCTCCAGGCACAGGATCTCGCTCTGAAGGTCGTACTGGTGCAGGGGCAGTCAGCAGGGAGCCTCCTCCAATCCTGTGCCCAGCTCTGATACCACAGCTGGGGCCTGGGACCATGGGGCGACCCTCCAGTAAGCCAGCACGGCCCTCACAGAGGACCCTGAGCTGCCCCTTAGCAGTAACATTTACTGTTCCTTGCCTGGGCACATTGGAGACATCGTAGGAAACTACAGAAAAACAGGCTAAACATGAAACCAGCACCTTGGCGGTAGCTGCTGTCATTGCACCGCTCCTCCGCCTGCCTTTGGCGATGCACCCTCGTCTCCCGGCCGGTTTGGTCCAGCACTGGGGTCTGAAAGCAGATAGGATGGTGGAGCCTGAGGTGCAGGAGTCCGGAGCCCAGGGACTCAGAGGGCCAGGTGGGCCCTGTAGAGGGACAGACACTCAGAGTGATGCCCTGTGTGCCAGCTGGACAGTCACCGGTGGGGACACCGAGTCCACATCAGGAGTGGCTAGGGCCCCTTCCCGCCAGGCAAGCCTGCAGCATCTATGAGCTCCAGGGCCTGAGTGACCATCTCCTGCAAGGAGGGTCTGCTCCACCCAGGGGTCTGCACAGGCATTTTCCCCTGCACCCGTAGGAGACCTCCCCTGAAAATGTCCCCTTCTGTGGTTGTGCAGGCTGAGACTGCTTGATGCCTCGGAGCCCCAGGCTCCCAGCAGTGAGGCATCTTAGGTTCCCGGATCTGGATAAACTGTGCTGCGGGCCCAGGCGCCTCCTCTGTGCCGGCCCTAGGCCCGCTGCAGGCGCGGACCGGGCCCTGGGGAGCGCTCGGGGAGCGCTGGCCTGGCGCTTTAAGGGCCGCTCATTTGCATGCCCCGCCCTGCCCCGCCCTGCCCCGCCCCCG